GGAACTCGAGGAAACGAGGGGGCGAGCCACGTAGCGTTGGGGAGGGGAGGGAACGAGGAGGCGGCGAGACAGCCGAGTCCGGAGGGCCTTGCATAGCGTTATGGTCTTCCACGTGGCGTCGTGGCTTGTCACGTGGCATCGCATGACAACTAGGGTCCCGGGTTAGTCATAGCGAGCCGGGAGACCACTAGTCGACGCAAAGCCCTAGTTAAACCCTCAAGGCGGCGTTCCGTCGTGCGCTGCTGCCGCGATTAAGGTCTGCTTCTCTCCTCCTTTCCGCTCTCGCCCGCCCTCCCTCCCTCGCCCCCTCACCTCCTACTTTCCCCGCCATTTCCCCGATCGACTCGAACGCGTCGGAATTTACCTGCTGGTGGCGTTGGCAACGCGTCGGCGCGAGCAGCCATGGTGGAGCGGCGCGGCGAGGTGGTCAGCCGCCTCAAGTCGCTCGAGGAGGCGGCGGCGCCGCTTGTCGCGTTCCTGCAGAACCCCGCGACCGTGCAGGAGCTGCGCTCCGATAAAGCGTACAACCTGCTCATGCTTCAGGAGAAATACCAGGTGAGACCAACAGAGGCTCGCACAGCGCCACGCTGGGTCAGCACGACCAGCCGACGCTGCTCTTTCTCGCCGCGTCCTTAGCTCGCTTTCTCGCTGCTCTCCGCTCCCACCCCCCCTTCTCTCCCGGCCTCCTCCTTCCGAAGCATCCGCGCGTCCGTCACCTGTCGCACGCGCTCCTCCACCCACTCCCCTCTCCGCCTTACCCCCTCGTCCCAAGCCCCCCCGCCCCCGCGCCTGCGCGCCCGCGCGCAGATTGGCGCGGAGGGCGTGGAGGCGCTGTAACGGAAGCCAAGTTCCAGTTCGAGTGCGGCAATTACAGCGTCGCCCTTCCCCCATGCCAGCCCCCCGCTCCACTACCCCTTCCCCCATCTCCCCCCCCTTCCTGGCGCGCAGATCGGCGCGGAGGGCGTGGAGGCGCTCTATTGGTACGCCAAGTTCCAGTTCGAGTGCGGCAACTACAGCGGCGCCGCGGACTTCCTCTACCAGTACCGCCTCCTCTGCTCCTCCCCGCAGCGCGCGCTGAGCGCGTCGTGGGGCAAGCTGGCCGCGGAGCTGCTGATGCAGAACTGGGACGCCGCGGGGGAGGAGCTCGCGCGCGTCAAGGAGATGATTGACTCGCAGGTGCGCGCGCGGGCGGGGCGCAATGGCGAATTGGGGGGGGGGGGGGAAGGGAGGGGATTGGCATCAGTGAAAGTGCGGAGGGATGCGGGGAGGAGGGGGGTGGGGGGGGGAGAGGAAAGCTGGGGGGCGGAGCTGCTGATGCGGAACTGGCGCGCGGGAAAGAGAAGGAGAATGGGGAAAGGCGAGAGAACGAGGGGAGACAAAGGGAGAGAGGGACGCGCGGGGAGGGCTGAAGCATGATGACCCATGCATTTCTCTCGCTTTTGAGAATTCTCAAAAGGAGGGTTGAAGCATGACCCATGCATTTCTCTCTCTCTCCCCTCTGCCCCCGTGCGCTCAGGCCTTCGCATCCCCACTAGCGGTGCTGCAACAGCGCACGTGGCTGCTGCACTGGGCGCGTGCTGCACCACTCACCCTCCGCCCCTTCCAAACCTTCCTCCTTTTCCCCCAATTCCCCCACTCCCGCACTCCCCACACGTGTTCAGACCTTCGCCTCCCCTCTAGCGGTGCTACAGCAGCGCACGTGGCTGCTGCACTGGGCGCTCTTCGCCATGCTGCACTCTGAAAACGGCCGCTCCAACCTCGTCGACCTCTTCCTAACGGACAAGTGAGCGCCCTCTGCCCCCCTTCCCTGCTCTTGTTTCCGTGCCCTCTTTGTTTTACTTCTCCACCACACAGAAAATATCCCTACACTTTTACAAATCCTTTCTTGCTTCTTCCATTCCTCCCTTCTCCGATCCCCTCCCTCTCCCTCGGCCCACTCCTCCCCCGCTCTCCTTCCCCTCCCCCCTCCCCTCGTCCCACAGGTACCTGAGTGCCATCCAGACGAATGCGCAGCACCTGCTGCGCTACCTCGTGGCAGCAGTGCTCACATGCAAGCGCAGGCGCAGCGCCGTCAAGGAGGTGGCGCGAGTGGTGGAGGCGGAGAGGCATGCGTACAGCGACCCGCTCACGCAATTCCTGCTCGCTCTGGTCGTTGACCTTGATTTCGATGAGGCTCAGAGCCGACTGAAGGAGTGTGAAGAGGTGAGGGAGGGAGGGAGAGTGAATCATGCTAGGCTCGTGAATTGGTGACGGCTTGCAGGAGTGCGAAGCGGTGAGTGTAGCGCAGCGCAGTGAAGGAGGTGGCGCGGGTGGTGGAGGTGTAGAGGCACGCGCACAGCAACCCCTTCACTCAATTCCTGCTCGCCCTCATTGTTGATTTGGACTTTGACAGAGGCTCTGTCAAAGGAGTGCAAAGCAATGAGTGCAGCGTAGTGGAGTGAAGGAGTGGTGCGAGTGGTGGAGGCGGAGAGGCATGCATACAGTGACCCGCTCACTCAATTCCTGCTCGCGCTGTTCGTTACCTTTTTCCTCCCTCTAGACTCCTTTCTTTCCATCTCGTTTCACTTACCGCATCCCCTTTCCTCCTTCTCTCCTCTAACTACCCCCCCTCCCCCCCCTTCCCCTCCTTTCCTCCCCACTTCCAGCTATTGGCGAACGATTTCTTTCTGGGCAAGCGCGTGGCGGAGGGCGGGTATGTGGCGGTGCCTCTGAGGGACGAGGTGATCGACAGTGCCCGGCTGCTCATGTTTGAAAACTACTGCAGCATTCACCGCCGCATTGATATCAAGTAAGCTTATGCATGTGTGCGCCCTTGCCGCACAGCACCTCACTGCACCGCACCTCGCCGCACCTCACCACACCGCTTTGCACCTCAAGCGAGTGCCTCTGGGGTGGGGGGCGAGGTGGTGGACAGTACCCGCCTTCTCATGTTTGAAAACTACTGCAGCATCCACCGCCACATTGATATCAAGTGAGTGCATACGTGTATGGGCCCTCGCCACAACGCACCTCACCTCACCGCACAGCACTGCATCTCACCTCAGCTCACCTCACCGCATGTTACCGCACCTCGCCTCACTCCCTTCGTTTCTCCCCAGGGTGGTGGCGGAGAAGCTGAGCATGGCGACAGACGCGGCGGAGCGGTGGATGGCGAATCTGATCCGCACGGCCAAGCTGGACGCCACCATTGACTCCGAGGCTGGCACGCTCGTCATGGCCACGGCACAACCCAATGTGTACGTTGCTGGGCGGCTGTGGGCACATGCGTGTGCATGGGCATGGGCATGGGCATGGGCATGGGCATAGGCATAGGCATGAGCATGAGTATGGGCACGGGCACGGGCACGGGCATGGGCATGGGCATGGGCATGGGCATGGGCATGGGCATGGGCATGGGCATGGGCATGGGCATGGGCGTGGACATGGGTTGGGCAGGATCATGAGCATACGTATGTCAGTGTGTGTGTGTCGCCACCTTCCACATTCCTCTCTCCCCTTTGTCCCGCACCCCCCACCATTCCACCCCCTCCTCCTATCCTCGGCCCCTCCCATGCCCTCTCCCTGCAGGTACGAGAACCTAATAGAGCGGTCGAGAGGTCTCACCTCGCGCACGTATGCCCTCGCCTCCAACGTTGCCGCTATCGCCCTGCAGCAGTAGCACCACTACCCGTGCACCAACCAACCAACCAACACGCCTCTGTTCTAGCATCCCACTTACAGACGGGGCACTTTTTGCGGTGCCTCAAAAGCAGCACAACCAGTCCACCTCACAAAAAAACCTCTGTTACAGATGAGGCAATTTAGCTTTCTGCCATCGCTTTTTGAATGGGCTGATGTGGTTCCACTGGAAGGGCCATGTTCATGTGCACTAGCTTGCTCTGTGTGTGTTTTAGTTTGTACCTCATGCACAATCTGTAGCCTCGTCTGCTGGTGTGTTGTGAAAATGCATTGTCGGATACCTCTATTCAGTTGTTACTGCACACATTCCCGCCTGTGTAGAAGCATGGAGAGGTGTGCATAGCATACAATTGACCCTGAGGCCTCAAACCTATTTGTATTACCGTCATACCCCGGATAGAAGCGCCCCTGGGGTTATAAAAAAACACTGTTTTTTAGGGGGTGGGCTTATAATTGAGGATTTTTATAAGCGCCGGCGCTTATATAATGACATATATGAAATCTAGTTTTTTTTACACCAAAGTGTTCATGTCGTCCTTGCGATTTGGATCGAATCGATATTGTAGAGGGTTGAATGTGAATTTCGCGTGAATTGGCAGTGGCTGATTCCATGCCAACACACACAGTCAGAATGAGTCAGATTGACCCCATGACAGCTCATTCTGACTGGACGCGAAGGCATTGAGTCTCACGAGGGTGAAAGGATCCGAAATTCAGAATGCGGGAATGCAAAGTTGTTTTTCGTTACAGCGTTTCTAGTAAAAATATAAGAAAACATTACAAAGGGTGGCGCTTATAATCCGTAAGCCTTCAGGGGTGCGCTTATAATCGAGGACCGGATATAAGCGCCCTCATCCTTTTATAAGCGCCGGCGCTTATCATAGGCATGCGCTTCTATCCGGGGCCTTACGGTAGCATCCATTCTGGAGGGTACAACGGTACTGCAGGTTCAGTGTCAAAATGGTCTTTAGGAACAGGGAATATATTCTGTATTATATAGCAACGAAAGCAAACACATGAGTAATACATGACTAGCAAGTCCATGCAAAATAATTCAGTCCAGGAATATACCGTACTAACATGCGAAACACCCATGCATTCCTTTCCACTACACCTGCTCATTGTCAGTCTCACAATGGTCTATCTCCCACCCTTTTCCCTCCCTCCCCATCATAAGCCCACCACTCACCCCCCCTCCCTGCATCAGTTTATGTAGTTACAGCAGCGCTATACGCATCCAGAACCTCAAATGCACACTTGGGGACTTATGAAACGTCTCAACAGCAACCCTTCAATTCAGTCCATGCAGCTGCAGCAGCACTCTAAGCCTCCGGCTTAATCTTCTCCAGAATCTCCAGCGCACACTTGGGAATGCGAGTCCCCGGGCCAAAGATCGCCCCCACGCCCTTGTCAAACAAAAACTGATAATCATCCGGGGGAATAACCCCCCCCGCAATCACCAACACCCTCTCCATCCCCTGCGCCTTGAGCTCATCCAGCAGCTGAGGCACCAGCGTCTTGTGTCCAGCAGCCTGCGAGCTCACCCCCACCACGTGCACATCGGCCTCCATGGCGTGCCGTGCCACCTCTGCTGGGGTTTGGAAGAGCGGGCCGATGTCGATGTCGAATCCCAGGTCTGCCAGGCCCGTGGCCACCACCTTAGCGCCGCGGTCGTGCCCGTCTTGGCCCATCTTGGCGATGAGGACACGCGGGCGCCGGCCAGTGCTCTTTTCGAAGGCCTCCACGGCGGCTTTCACTGCGGCTAGCTCGTCTGTTTCCTGGCCGCCAGTTGCGCGCCCGTACTCGCCCCTGCACCAGGAAAGGCAGCGTGGAGGAAGAGCAGGAAAAGGACCAAGTGAGGTTAACAAAACAAAGCGAAATGATAGTCTAGGCTCCTCAGAAATCATCCTTCCCCATCTTGGCGATGAGCAAGCGCGGGCGTGTGAGCCAGTTGGGGAGAGGCATGGGGGAGGAGTGCGGTGGAGGTGAGGGAGATGTGTGAGCAGCAAGCAGCGGCCAATGCAGGCAGCGATGAGTACAAGCTCGCTTAGGTCAAACCCCATGCGGTACGCACTGGTATGCACCGGTGTAGATGGTGGAGTCTGCAACGTGGTGGCCCCACTTGGCCTCAAGGGCGTCGCTGATCTTCCCCAGGGTGCATCACATTCGTGAAATGGCCGCACAAATATGGCGCGCGCGCGCGCGCACACACACACACACACACACACCCCCCTGAGTTCCACACATGAGGCACACACCTGTAGGCACCCGTGGAGATGGTGGAATCGGCGACGTGGCGGCCCCACTCGGCCTCGAGTGCGTCACTGATCTCCCCCAGCGTGCACCGCACTCGTGCCGCCTCCACTGCGAGGGTCAGCAGGTTGCACCCCTCTCCGCGCTCCGTGCTCTTCGCTGCCGCTGTTAGCGCCGCCAGCGCTGCCTTCACCCTGGAAAGGGGGAAGAGGGGTTGAGTGTGTGCGTGAAAGGGATGGGAGATTTTAGGAGAAAAGAAGGGAGTGAGAAAGCGCGGGCGCGGTGAGTGGGTGTGTGTGGGAAGGCGAGGGGGAAAGCCAGGGGGAGGTAACTATGTGCATGGGGAGATGGGGAGTAGCAGTTAGAGATTGCCAACATAGGGGTTCAGAGAAAGTGCAAAGGAGAGAAATCGTAGGGAGGGAGATAGGGAGCGGGGAGAGGGGAGACAGAAGCGTGAAGAGGCGCATGCCGTACTTTTCAGTGTCCCGGGATGCACGAAGTTCACCCAGGCGCTTGACTTGGCTCTTGAGCACAGCAGCGTTGTCGATGTGCCGCAGCTCCACGCCCTCCTCCTCCTTGAGGCGATACTTGTTCACCCCCACCACCACGTCCAGCCCACTGTCCACGCGCGCCTGATGGGGGATGGAAAAATTGAGAGCAGAGGGGAAGTGAGAGGGGGGGTTGTGCAGGAGAGTGACTGAGATGAGTAAGCAGGAATCACACAGCCAAGTTTCAAGTTCATGGCCCCGTTTGCCCTTCCTCCCTTGCCTCCCTCCCTCTTGTTCCAATACTGCCATCCTCCCTGCCTTAGCCACCACCCCTCAACCCCTTCCGCCTCCCCCCCACCCCCAACCACGCACCTGTTTGCGAGCAGAGCACTCCTCAATCTTGCGTTTGGGCATTCCCGACATGATAGCCTTGGTCATCCCCCCCGCCGCCTCCACCTCTACATTGATCTCCAGGTTCAGTAGTTACATCTTCACTCCCCGCACACGCACCTGTTTGCGAGCAGAGCACTCCTCAATCTTGCGTTTGGGCATCCCCGACATGATAGCCTTGGTCATCCCCCCTGCCGCCTCCACCTCCTCAATGATCGCCAGCGCCTTCCTCTCCAGCTCCGCAGTCAGCGCCTCCATCATGAACGACCCGCCCCAGGGGTCCGCCACGTGGGTGATACCCGTCTCTTCCTGCAGGATCAGTTGCGTGTTGCGGGCGATGCGAGCGCTCATCTCGGAGGGGAGGGCGAGGGCCTCGTCGAAGGCGTTGGTGTGGAGGGACTGCGTGCCGCCCAGCACGGCCGCCATGGCCTCAACTGTCGTGCGGATGACATTGTTGTATGGGTCCTGCTCGGTCAGCGAGTAACCGGATGTCTGCACGGTGAAAGAGGGAGGGTGGTGGCCGGGATTGGGGGCAGAGTGTATGGGAAAATCAGGTGTGAGTGGATTGTAGAGGCGCCTCAAGGCTGGTACGTGCGCTCATCTCGGAGGGCAGCGCCAGGGCCTCGTCGAAGGCGTTGGTGTGGAGGGACTGCGTGCCGCCCAGCACTGCCGCCATGGCCTCGACTGTCGTGCGGATGACGTTGTTGTATGGGTCCTGCTCGGTCAGCGAGTAACCGGATGTCTGGATGGGGGGGAGAGGGAGGGGAAATGGGGGGAGGGGAAATGGGGAACGTGTAAATGAGTGAGAGTGCGTTTGAGGTGTCTCAATGAGGCTGTATGTGTCCTGCTCAGGGAGGAGCCGGATGTCTGAACGGGGGAAGAGGTTGGGTGGGGAGGGGGAGAGGTGAGAGGGGCAAAGGGGTGAAGGGCGGGAGGTGAGAGGGTGATGTTGAGAGCTTGAGTGCTGCTTTGCATGGGGAGTTGAATCAGTACATTGAGTGAAATGAGTGTGCAGAGGCATATTTTATTGCGCTACACTTACCTGGCTGTGCGTCCTGAGAACGAGCGACTTGGAGTTCTTGGGGTTGAACTTCTCCTGCTCGCATGCACGTGGGACAGAGGAGCACGCAGGGGAGAGGGGTCAGTGCGGTGAGGGGGTGAGAGGGGTTGAACGTCTCCGGTGGGGACAAGAGAGGAAAGGTGAGGTGGGGAGAGAGGTTCGGGCGAGGGGTGGGAGTGACGTGGATGCGGAAGGGAAGGCATAGCGCGTGGCAGGCAACGGGAGAGAATTCAAGATGAGAGTGAATGGAAAAAGAAAGAAAGAAAGAAAAAAATCGGTAGAAGGCAGAGGGGATCAGGGCCAGCGGGGCAGCGGCGAGGGAAGAGCAGGGTTGTGGTGGGAAGTATTGCATTGACCAGGGAGTGCCCAGCTCACCTTGACCAGCTTAGCCCACACGCGCCTTGCTGCTCGCATCTTGGCAATCTGCCGATGGGCGCACGGGAGGAGAGAGGGGGGCACGGGAGGAGAGAGGGGGGCACGGGAGGAGAGAGGGGGGCACGGGAGGAGAGAGGGGGGCACGGGAGGAGAGAGGGGGGCACGGGAGGAGGGAGGAGAGGGGGGGCACGGGAGGAGAGAGGGGGGCACGGGAGGAGCGGGAGGGACATACAGGGGCACACAGGCACGTGGGGCAGAGAATGAGACGCAAACAGGTGTGTGGGGCTGTTGAGGTCAAAGGACGACAAAAGGGGGTGGAGGCAGTGAGAGGCAGAATAAGGTCATTGTCATGAGAGGGTGAGGGCAGATTATTGCCGCTCAAATGCACGGTTACTGGTCTGCAGAGATTGTACCTGCACGTGCAACGCCCCACCTCCATGTGCAAGTTCATGCCTCCATGTGCAAGTTCATACCTCCATGTACAAGTTCATACCTCCATGTACAAGTTCATACCTCCATGTACAAGTTCATACCTCCATGTACAAGTTCATACCTCCATGTACAAGTTCATACCTCCATGTACAAGTTCATACCTCCATGTAGAAGTTCATTCCGATGGCCCAGAAGAAGGAGAAGCGCGGAGCGAGCTCGTCCACGCCCACACCCGCCTCCATGCCGCACCGAATGTACTCCAGGCCGTCCGCGATGGTGAACGCCATTTCCACAGCACTGCAGAGAGGGGGGCAGGGGGAGCACAGCACAGCACAGCACAGCACAGCACAGCACAGCACAGCACAGCACAGCACAGCACAGCACCGCACAGCACAGCACAGCACAGCACAGCACAGCACAGCACAGCACACACAGAGTGCACAGGCGTCAGAGCATGCGTAAGGGGGGAGGAGTCAGCTCGTCCACGCCCACACCCGCCTCCACGCCGCACCAGATGTACTCAGGGCCGTCAGCTATGGTGAATGCCTTCTCAACAGCGCTGCAGGGTGTGAGGACGAGGGGAAAGGGGGGCACAGGGCCACAGAGAGAGTGCACACGCAGGAGACGAGAGGTCGATGGGGAGGAAAGAAAAAGGAGAGGCACAAGCCCGTGGGCAATCGTACACGCCATCTCCACCGCGTTGGGCAATCGTACACGCCATCTCCACCGCGTTGCAAAGTGTGGGAGGGGAAAAGGGGCGACACAGCACACAGCACAGCCCCGGCCCTACCAGTCAGCCCCGGTCCCCGCCTTACCAATACCCCCATTAACTCACCAGTCAGCGCCCGCCTCCTGCATGTGGTAACCCGAGATGGAGATGGAGTTGAACTTTGGCATGTGGCAGCCTTACCAGTCCCACCCGCCCTTGAACTAGTCAACTCACTTGAACTCACCAGCCACCTCCCTACACTTACCAATCCGCCCCGGCCTCCTGCATGTGGTAACCCGAGATGGAGATGGAGTTGAACTTGGGCATGTGGCGCGACGTGTACGCCATGATGTCGCCCACCACGCGCATGGACGGCGCGGGCGGGTAGATGTACGTGTTGCGCACCATGTACTCCTTGAGGATGTCGTTCTGAATGGTTCCTGACACTTTAGCCAGGTCCACTCCTGTGGATACACAGGAAGACGGTGGGGGGGAGGGTGGCATGAGGCGGGCGGGCGGGTAGATGTACGTGGTGCGCACCATATACTCTATCAGGATGTCGTTCTCAATCGTGCCTGACACTTTGGCTAAGTCCACGCCTGCAGGCGAGAGGGAAAGGGAGGGGCCAGCAGAAGGTGCGGGTGAAAGGGGCGGGTGAGTGGAGGGGTATGAGGAGCGGGCGGGTAGATGTACGTGGTGCGCACCATGTACTCCTTCAGAACGTCGTTCTGAATCGTGCCCGGGACTATACTTCCGCCTAACGCCCCTTCCTTCCCACTCCCATCCCTCCACAGCGCTGAGTCCTCCCTCCCATCCCCTCCCATCCCCTCCCATCCCCTCCCCTCTCCCAGGACTCACCCTGCTCACCCCCCTTCCCCCTCACTCACCCCCCTTCCCCCTCACTCACCCTGCTCACCCCTTCCCCCTCACTCACCCTGCTCCTGCGCGGCGACGATAAAGAAGGCCATGACAGGCAGCACGGCGCCGTTCATGCTCATAGACACCCACATCTTGTCCAGCGGGATACCGCTGAAGACCTTCCCAACCCCCTCCCATTGTTCCCCTTCCTCCAGACTCACCCTGCTCTTGAGCAGCAACGATGAAAAACGCCATAACCGGAAGCACGGCCCCGTTCATGGTCATGGACACCGACATCTTGTCCAGCGGGATACCGCTGAAGAGCACCTTCATGTCCTCCACGCTGTCCACCGCCACCCCCGCCATGCCCACGTCCCCCACCACGCGCGGGTGATCGGAGTCGTAGCTGATGGCGGAGCGGAAGCGGGCGGGAATGGGATGGTGGAGGGGGAGAATGGAAGGGGAGGGAGGAGGGAGGCGAGGAGAGGGAGAATGAGGCGGGACGTAGACCCTGGTGAATCGTGTGGAGGCAGTTTATTCATGGAGTCAGACTCTCATAGTAAAGAGAAGTTAGAAAGATTTGAAGGCTCAAAAGGGACTCAAACACTCGAAGGACACCCCCGTGCGCTCACCCGCGGTGCGTGGCGAGGTCGAACGCCACGGACAGCCCCTTCTGCCCCGCCGCCAGATTCCGCCGGTAGAACGCGTTCGACTCCTCCGCCGTGCTGAGGGAACGCGGCGGAAGGGGGTGCGGAGAGGGGAAAGGGGGAGGGGAGAGGGGGGAAGGCGGGAAGGAGGAATGCGGTTGGAGACGAGGAATGCGGTTGGAGACGAGGAATGCGGTTGGAGACGAGGTATGCGGGAGCGGCTCAATCACGCGACGACTGGAAGGGCGAGAGCGCGTGACGAGAGTGCGTGACGCGCAGCATTGAGAGCAGCGCTTGCCGCACGCGAGCATCGCGCAGGTTGCGAAGAATGGGGAGGCGAAAAGGGCGAAGAGTGGTTACCTGAAGCCGGCGTATTGGCGAATGGTCCAGGGGCGCTGCGTGTACATGGTGGCGTAAGGGCCGCGCGAGAAGGGGAAGACGCCCGGCATCTCCATCTTTGACTCCTCGGGCACGTCGGAATAGGAGTACACGGGCTTGATCCAGATGCCCTGCGCGAACACGTGATACGAAAAGTGGTAACCATGGGTAAGGCGGCGAAAGAATGAGGAAGGTTTTCGGACGCGGGATCCATTTGAGAAGGTTACATCGAACTAGCGACCAAAAAAAAAAAAAAAAACGCAGGCACTGCGATGCAGTAAGGAAGGAATGCGGCAACGTATGCGCGCGGACTGACCTCGGGCGAGAGCGTCTTGAGCTCTTCGAAAGCATCCCCGCCCTTAATCTCCTTCGACGCGCGCTTCGCCCACTCCGCCTGCACCGGCGTCAGCTCCTGCTTCGGCGCCTCGCCGTCCGCCGGCGGCGCGGAGCTCGACGAGCTGAACAGCCGCCCGCTGCCGCGCGGCGCTGCTGCCGCGGGAACCAGCGCGTCCACCCTGCACGCCGCGGCGGCCGCACGGCGCGCCTGATGAAAGAGGGGCGAGGGGAGGAAGTTGAGCGTCACGCTAACCACCGTAAACGCCAGATGAAAGAGTTAAGATCTGCGCGCACGAGAATCCGACCCGCGTGCCTTCTCCATTCATTTTCCGTTCTCTTCGTTTTCCTCCGTTACCATAAATGCAATAACAGAAATTCTATATCGAAGAACGGAAGCTTCCATGAAACGCACCTGCGGGAAGAGAAGATGGCCTCGGGACATGATGAGCTGCGCCGCCTTTCCTCGAGCCATGGCGTACAAAGACAGTCAGCAGATGCTCGGTCTAGATCGGTACTGGTGGGTGCGACGGCGATGACAAGGGATGTTCTTGGACGGCGGAGGGGGTGGAGGAGGATGGGAATGGCTAGGGCGTGCGTGGGAGGGTGGAAGGCAGGAGATATGCAGCAGATGCGTTCGATGAAACGGCTGAGCTTCGGACTCGAGGTCGTCTGGGGTGGAGCAATCCCAAGAAACGCTACTGTTGCGCTTCTGCTGCTGCGTGGTGCTCTCTGCGCAACTGTTGCGTTGCTGCTGGTGAGGGAGGGGAGGGAGAAGAGCAGAACCCGTTGTCTAGGGAGTTGTTTCTGTATGATGGCAAGTGGAGGTGAGAGATCCTTACTGACGTGGCAAAACTTCCAGAGACTCCGCAGCCTGACGTGGGGCACACCCTTTTGCCTGGACGGGGTGAGAGTGCGGCCACGCTGGACGTTTCCGATTGCACGGGCATTCGCGCTGGCACCAAGATTCGAGGAAGTGGAGATTCTGCGCCTGATTTTACGAGTCTGCTTTCGTCAACGGCAGCTCGACCCTCCGTATAGGATTCCTCGTGATAACGATTTTTTTGACTCCTCGAAGTGCTTTGTAGATAAAAGACAACTCACTAAGTTGACTATACTAATGCATGTGCACACCCCTGCCTGCACATGCGATCAAATCACAACTTGATCCAGGAAACTGTTTCCTAAACAAACAAATTCTATTGCGGATTATTCAACCCGTGTTCTGACCTTTGGCACCAGTGGCCTTTATAAGCTGAACAAATTCATGAGCCTCCTGGGCTGTGGAGAGCTGGAGGGTCCGTCCACGTAGTGAAGCCAACCTCGTGCCTTCGGCTGGAAGCTCCATGACTGAATACCACCGGGGAGCACAGCAGAGGGGAGAAGGCACTCAGGCACCGGACAAATGAGCAGTAGCCCATCGATCACGAATAGTGAATCGCAGACCGTCGGCAAGGTGGTTGGGAGTTGGATTCACACATGTGCAAGCAGAACGACACGAGATGGAACGGATCTGCAGATTGGCTCATGGAAAGAAAGAAAGAAAGAAAGAAAGAAAGAAAGAAAGACCGGTGAGGAGTCACTCACCAACAACTGACGAAGCTTCACTAGCGTCCACAGTTGCAGAGTGAGCCTCACTGGGCACCCCGTCCACAGTGGCAGGCGGCGGTGTCGTGGTCTGCACCATGGGCTGAGCTTGAATCGCAGCAAGAGCAGGTGGGAGGGCAGCATCAGTGGCAGGAGGTGTGGAGGCAACACAGTGTGGTGTTGAGTCATGGTCCATTGCCTTGCTCTCTTCTTCTGCTGCAACCGCTGCCTGTATCACATGTTCTCTATGCTCACTCCCACGTGCTGCATGCTCGCTCGCATGTGCTCTCTCCTCACTTCCACGCTGCTCATGTGAGTCATCGGGCTGCATGCTGCAGCAGCCAATCACGTCCCTCAGAGGCACCGCCCATGCCACCTGCCATTGGCTGGCCCTCTGGCTCCTGCCGTGCCGCCCTGCTGCTGCCACTCTCCACACGTGCAGCATGTGCATCGGTGTGACTATAACGAATGCCTCCTCTGGTGCCCCTGACGAGCGAGGCACTAGTGGTGCTAATGCCAGTGCTGATGTAGGTGCTGATGCAGGTGCTGATGCAGGTGCTGGCAGTACAGGAACCACTTGGAAGCAAGCCAGGGCGTCCTGAACATGTGCGAGCAAGGACATAAAAAAAGGCAGGAATGAGTTGTACAAAGTGGTGATTTGTTCTTTCAACAAGGTGATAACAAGATGGCGACAGGGTGACCAGCTATTTCGATCGTTGGCTGGCTACGATACATATCAGCATGCGAGATTATGGCCTGTGAATCATCCCTCTCCTCACTCTGTGAATCATCCCTCTCCTCACCCTGTGACTCATCCCTCTCCTCACCCTGTGAATCATCCCTCTCCTCACCCTGTGAATCATCCCTCTCCTCACCCTGTGAATCATCCCTCTCCTCACCCTGTGAATCATCCCTCTCCTCACCCTGTGAATCATCCCTCTCCTCACCCTGTGAATCATCCCTCTCCTCACCCTGTGAATCATCCCTCTCCTCACCCTGTGAATCATCCCTCTCCTCACCCTGTGAATCATCCCTCTCCTCACCCTGTGAATCATCCCTCTCCTCACCCTGTGAATCATCCCTCTCCTCACCCTGTGAATCATCCCTCTCCTCACCCTGTGAATCATCCCTCTCCTCACCCTGTGAATCATCCCTCTCCTCACCCTGTGAATCATCCCTCTCCTCACCCTGTGAATCATCCCTCTCCTCACCCTGTGAATCATCCCTCTCCTCACCCTGTGAATCATCCCTCTCCTCACCCTGTGAATCATCCCTCTCCTCACCCTGTGAATCATCCCTCTCCTCACCCTGTGAATCATCCCTCTCCTCACCCTGTGAATCATCCCTCTCCTCACCCTGTGAATCATCCCTCTCCTCACCCTGTGAATCATCCCTCTCCTCACCCTGTGACTCCCTTTCCACCCACCAAGCCCTCCCTCCTCCATTCCTTCCCATCTTCCCCCACCACTCAGCCGCCCCACACATGGACTCCCTCCTCTCACCTCATCTCGCCACGCCCCCCCAGCAGCCTCAGCCAGAGCAGCTTGAGCAGCAGCTTGGGAGTGGCAGTAAGGGGCAAGGGGCCGACCAGGGCTCAGCTGCCGTGGCAGGCGCAGCGGGTGCAGAGCCTGGGAGGGGCCGGGAGGGCGGGCCACGTTGCGGATGCTCTCTGCTGTTTTTGCTGCCAGTGCCAGTGCCGATGCTGCTGGGCGTGCCACCACTCCCAGCACTCCCTGCGTCAGGCCTGCAAGGGGAGAGAAGGGTGGGGTTGGGGGGGAGAGGGGAGAAAGGTAGTGGTGGCATTTGCATTGGGAGGAGAAGAGCAGTGGGTTGTGGCACGGGCGCCATCTTATGTGGCAACGCATGTCATGCGGCCATTTGCAGTAGAAACGCCACGCATGCAAACCACTAGGCTGGCAGAACTGAGGGCGTTCAGAGCCTTTCAGTGGAGTACAGCACAGTGTGTGGTGCACTGGGTTGCAATGTGGTGCAGTGGGGTGTAGTGCGGTGGGGTGTGGTGCAGTGCGTTATCCTGCGGTGCAGTGCGAAGCATGCGGGCCAACAAGAGATCTCACCGGATGCAAGCCCGGGGAGACCGCCCCTCTCCCAACCCCTGATTGGACGGTCCAAGAGTCCCGTGACGCCCTGCCAATGGGTCGGCAGGATGCACATGGGATGCCGGAGTGGTGAACGAGCACAGAATGTGCAGAGATGAAGGAGAAGCAATGGATAAGTGCGACGCAGGGTGCCTCAATCAGAGCACACAGCATGTTTGAGTTGCGAAGCTGAAGTCAACAGACGCAGCAGCGGGCAGTACCTGAATGAGTGAGGCGAAGAAAGAGGCTTCATCTGAGGCGTGAGGGGCCCATGCCTGCCCTGCGCGCTCCATGCCCTCCTCGTTCTCCTCGTCCCATGCTAGCGATGCCATCCCCTGCCATGCCATGAAATCGCAAGACACAAGAGACAGAAAGGAAAACCGGAAGATTGGCAGCAGAATTAGGATGAGGAGAGAGTGGTAGGAAATGTGAAGATGGTGGGGTGGGTGGGGAAACTCGGGGGGAACGAATCAGAGAGGGATGAGCGGCCATCGCTAGCAGACCCGTGCAACCAAGTGATTCTATGGTCATTGAACGGTTGGATCCCATCCCACCTTGGAAGCGGCATGGGACATGCGGGAGGCGGAGTGCGAGAGAGCAAAGAGGGTGGTGCGCAGCAGGCTCGTCCACCCCGCCCACACCCCCTTGGCGAACCCTGCTGGGCTCTGCAGAGAAATGACAGGAAGACATGCGGAGAGGGCTTATGAGCCGACTGGAAAGGGGGAGTGCGGGAGGGCAAAGAGGGTGGTGCACAGCAGGCTCGTCCACCCCGCCCACACCCCTTTGGCGAACCCTGCTGGGCTCTGATGGGCAATAGATTGAAGCATGGGGTGGGTTCATGAGGAAGACGGGAACGTGGCGTGGGGTTGTGGATGGGCAGAAATGAGCAAGGGGTGAAGAGACATGATGATGGGCGTGTGAAAGGTAAACGCAGGTGGAGGGAAAGTGAAAGGTAGAAGTCTCTGGCAGTCTGCATGGATCGACGCGAGACAGGCAGGAAAAGGGCAAGAAACTGGCAGGAGGGAAAGCGGCAGGAGAAGGGTTGGAAAAGGGAGGGAGAAAGGCAGGAGAAGGGTTGGAAAAGGGAGGGAGAAAGGCAGGAGAAGGGTTGGAAAAGGGAGGGAGAAAGGCAGGAGAAGGGTTGGAAAAGGGAGGGAGAAAGGCAGGAGAAGGGTTGGAAAAGGGAGGGAGAAAGGCAGGAGACGGGCGCAATAGGGACAGGAGAGCGACAGGAGAGCGTCAGGAGAGATGGTACCCTGCGCATGAGCAGTGTGTGTGTGGGCGAGGCGAGCAGGTCCCAGAGGCTGGCAGAGAGGGAGGAGAGCAGCCCCACTGGGTTGCCCAGGAAGTCCGCTGACCCCACCACCTGCACGTAGGGCACGTGGATGCGTGGAGAATCAAAGCGATTTTGCAGAGTAGGCAGCAAAAACAGGCAAAGTGCGGCTTTGGATATTGTGCTTCCCTCGCACTTCTGCTACCTCCTGCGACCCTCACAACCTTGTAAAAGCCTTGCAGTGCCGCTACCCGCAACCTTGTAGGCTAGTTGCTACCTCGTAAACTAGTTCTACCTTGTAAAGCGCCTGCAGCAGCTGCAGTGTGTAGTGCCGCTCAAGCCTTGCCCCCAGCGACGCCGGCCCACCAAAAAAGTGCTCCAGCTGCCACGCAGACAGCCCTAGCGGTGCCCCCTGAACATCCGCCAGAGACAACACACTCCTCTGCACCACCGCCCCCAGCGCCCCCAGCAACCCCTGTGCCGCCGCTCCCCTGCTCTGCTCCGCGGCCCATGGTGCACTGGCAAAGCTGATGGTGATGTGGACGGGGAGGATGGCCATGGTCTCAATGTACATGTTGGCGGTGCCTTTTATGTGGGGAGATGTGTCCATGCCCTGTCCGCCCACCACACCCACTGCTGCCACGGATGCGGCACTGCACCATACGTACACTCGCCGCATCTGTTCCTGCCCCTTATCTCCAGCTCCCCTCCCTGCCTCCTCCCGTCCCTGCCCCCTACCTCCGCCAGAATTTCCGGTTCTTCCTCTCCCCACGTCCTTGCTGCCGGTGGCAAGAGAGGAGGTATGGGGTGGAGAGGAGGGCGAGGGAGGGCCGACGGCAGAGACAGCGGCGATGCACGTGCGGGAGAAGTCGAGCAGGCGCAGCAGCAGATGCTCCTCGAGCTCTAGGGATAGTGGGGCGAGGCTGGGAGGTGGGAGGGGTGGGGAAGGAGGGCAGTCACAGTTGTTGGATGTGGTTGAGAGGTGTTCATCGAGTTAGAGGAGATGGAGAAAAGGAGGAATGGAGGATAGAGGCGATGCAGAGGATACCACGGGGCATGGGTTTGGGTTGCACAGCTGGAACTCACCGAACTGCCAGCGCCCGCTGCACTCACCCGACCCTCACGCTCTCCACACACAGCACGGAGCCCACTCGCTGCCTCCAAGCCACCACCTCTGCTGCCACTGCCGCTTGCCCCCCTCCTTGCAGGCTCGTCTCAGCCGGTGCTTGCAGAGCACTGTGGGAAGGAGCTTGATGATGTTGGCCCGTGTGGTGGAGAACTGAGGAGAGCAGCAGAGAGGGCGCTTGGAGAGCCGCTTGTAGCAGCGCGAGGCTTGGAGAGGTGATAGATGGGTGGAGCACGGAGAATGGGGAGGGTGATGGTGAAGGGAAAGGTGGTGGTGAGGAGTGAGGGACGGAGAGAGGAGGAGGGGAGGAGGAGGCGAGGAGGATGGGGAAGAGGGCGTTGGGGAGTTGGTTGTCGAGTTGGAGGTGGGCGAGGAGGAAGGAGAGGGAGTGTTGGTGGGCGGAGCGGGAGAGGGAGATGGAGAGGCGGTGGAGAGAGAGCAGCAGTAGCTCCTGAGGGCGATTGTCTATGACGGAGAGTGCTATAAGGGGGATGCGCACGCTCAAGAGTAGTTCGAGTAGAGAGGAGGAGGAAGACTGGGAGACAGCGGGGGATTTGGAGGAGAGAATCCACGATTGGCGGTGCTGACTGGATGACAGCTCAGCGTGACGTGGCATGGAGGAGTACTTGAGATGGAGTGGGGGGAAGGAGGAGGGTGGAGGAAAGAGGTCGATGTCACACACAGAGAGGACCTGAGGTAGTGTGGGGGTGGGGGAACAGAGAAGAAAGAGGGGAAGGTAAATGGGGGGACTGAGTGGTAGGAGGGGATGCACACAGGTGAGGGAGAGGTGAGGTGGACTGATGACATTCAAAGATGCACAGCACACACAAATGCAGCTAGTCCGTCAGCAAAAAAACCTCATAAAAAATAAAAAAAACAGACAAACCAGTAATGCTGTCCGTACCCTGATTGGTCCTTGTGCTGACACGGATACTCTCAGGCGCCGCTGCTCCCTCTGCGAGTGCAGAGAGGCAAGAAAAGGTGCGAAGGGGAACGGGAGGCAAGGCGGGGAAAGGGAGACCAGCCGGACAGAGGCAGAGGATGAGGTAGGGGAATGATAGGTAGGGGAGTAATTGGGATAGAGTGCAAAATGGTGCAATAGTAAAAAGAATGGTGTGAGAAATGCATTGTCCATGGGTGCTTGTGACAAACGATGGCTCTGCGGGTAAGAGGATGTGCAGGGAGAAAGAAAGGAACGAGGGGGTGGAGAGTGCGGAAGAGTGGGAGCAGAGGATCCGAGGGGCCTCTCACTCACGGCTCATACCTGAGGGGTAGCAGGGAGGACGACAAGCGGGAAGTGCTTGACTTGGTCTAAGGGGAAATGACCCATGCTTCCGCCCTCGCCTGGTACCTGCCCCATGCCATGGCAGCACATGCCATGCACCCACAACATGCATGCCATGCAGACACCCATGGCACACATGCCAAGTCATGCAACCATGTCACACCCGGGATGGCGTCCCTTATAGCCATGATGAGATGGCATGCCAACATGTTGCCACGACCAGGGGGAGGAAGAATCATGTCGTTATCAGCACAGCCATCATGCGATGTGAGAGAAAGGCCGACAGAGAAGACAAAGAGTGGGGGCATGATACCACAAGGCAGGGGCGCCAGGGAGCAATGCGAAAGCAACCATAGGGGCGTGCGTGCGATTGGCATCTGAAAAGCCTGTCCAATGCTGACCTCAAGGACCAATCGGTGAGGGCGGCAGGGTTCGTCCCATGCGTAGGGCGTGGCAGCAAAGGGTTTGAGGGAGTCGGTGTGGCCCAGCCCCTCACACCCGCGCTGGTAGAAGCGCAGCACCTGGGAGCAGCATGAAAGGGTGGAGGGGAAAGGGGGGGTTCCTTAGTCAATCCGCTGCTGAGAGCTACCTGTGCGTCCACTCCACCCACCCTACCCTGCATGCCCCCTGCTTTTGAGTCGACTCAAAAGCATATCCCCTGCATGTGCTCTGCTCACCTCACGGGAACAGTTGTCAATACGGAAGGGCATGAAGCCCGAGTCGTCCTCCCCAATCACCACCAGGTACGTGCCTCCCCCACTCCACTTGGCGCTGCCCTCACCACCCCTGCCACTGCCACCACCACTGCCAACCCCTTCTGCCTCAGTGCTCCCAGAGATCCCACCACTGTTGGTCCCCCCGCTGCTGCCAGTGCTGTTCGTTGCACTGCTAGTGGCAGCAACTGTATGTGTGGTCACAGCAGCAGCAGCAGCAGCAGCACGGGGCTGCCTGTGGAAGGTGGGGTTGGGCGAGCGACACATCGACTCTCACAATACGGGTGAGGGCGAGGGGTGAGGAGGGCGCGGAGGAGGACGGGGAGCAGCGCAGCTTGAGCTGAGTGTCGCCCAGCTGGGAGGGGCGGAAGGCACCGGACCATTCGCAGCTGCTGTCAGCCAGGCGCAGTGACAGGTAGAGGCGACTGCATGGAGGGTGGGGGGAGGGGAGGGAGAGGGAAAAGAGGGGGAAGGAAGGAGAAACAGGAGAAGGGTGGAAACAGGGAGGAAGGGAGGCTGGGAGGAGCGTGAAAGAAAAGAGCGATAGCAAGCAGCATAACTTGTGGTGATTGAGTAGAAGTTGCACGGTACAAGTGAGCGTTACAAGTTAAGAGTGGAGTGGAGTGGTGCTGGGGAGGAGGGCAGGCGAGTGGTACCGTTGCAGTTTGGTGAAGTGAATGGGAGCATTGCCTCCCGCCTTGATGAGAACGTGGCGGTCCGTGCCGTGCTGCTTCACCCGTATGTCCGCTGACAGGCTGTTGGCTAGCACGTACCTGGTAGAGGGAAGGAAGCGCGAGGGAGGGTGAAGTGAGGGGTGGGGGACAGGACTGAGGGGTGAGGCATGGAAAAGAGGCAACAGGATGAGTTGGGAAGGAGAGGGGGGGTCAGTTATGGGGCGAAAGGACTGAGCGATGTCAGGAGCGATGCACAGCATAGCGCACAAGGCAGAACGTTTTTGGTACAAAGAGTGCAGTGCACCAACGGCAAGGGTAGTGAGGAGTGAAGAGATTTAGGTAGCATGGCACGGGGCAGAGACCGAGGGCGAAGGGTGATGGTCTTGGCTCGGCCGGCAGAGGCACCGAGAGTGTCAGAGCAGGTGAGACTCAGCGCAAAGGCACCTCCACCGCTTCCAACACCACCACTGCCACTGCTGCCACTGCTGCTGTTCACGGCTTGCTGAGGAATCAGCACCTCTGCCACCCCCCCTGCTGGCTCCACAGGGATAGCTGCTGACCAACCAGAGAGCGACACGTGGCTCCAGTCAGGCACAGTGGGAGGCAAAGAGGCGTTGAGAGAGCGCATACCCCCGGCACCACCAAGGCCCGCAGGTATAGCAGCAGCAGCAGTACCCCCCACTCGCAGCACAAGTGCTGGCTGGGTGGGGTGCAGCCCTGCAGTGGCACCTGAAGCAGCAGAGTCGGCATCAAGAGCAGGTGCGGGAGGGGCAGGAGTAAACAGGGCCATAGGGGGCTGCAGTGCTCCTCCTCCCTGGCTTATCTCCTCTCTCCCTCCTTCTCTGCCCTCGCTTCTCATTCCTGTACCCTTTTCCCCAGCTCCCACGTTTGTGGCTGCAGGGGTGTGTAAGTCTGTCCGTGTATCAGAACCACCAGCCAAAGCGCTCATGCCTTGGCTCATCCCAGGAAGCACCGCTGCCAACCCTCCCACCCTACCACCCGCTGCTGCTCCGCCAGCTGGCACAAGCGGCACGCTGCTCGCCATCAACGCGGTCGGAAGAGACGCTGACGTGGCAGCTGCCAGGCTGTCGCTTGTGAGAAGGGCGGGGTGCGGGGGGAGAAAGAGGTGGGAGGAGGGCGAGGTGTGGAGGTGAGAGTCGGAGAGGCAGAGAGGGAGGTCCGTGGCGTTGACGATGGTGAAGGGGGCTAGCAGGTGCAGACAGCGGGAGGCAGAGGTGGGGCGGTGCAGGTGGATCAGGTGCAGGGGCACAGGCGGACCTGATGGGAGGCAGGGGGGTGAGAAACACGGCACGGGGTACAAACAAATGAGTGGCAGAGATGATTGAGTGTTGGTACAAGACACGAGACATGGCTGCAGCCTGAAAAGGAGTGGGCGAAATTGAATCATTTTGACCGCGTGCGTGGACCAAGGCAAGTGGGGGTGTTCAGTGCGGGCGTTAAGTGCGGGCACTGAGTGGGGACGCTAAGTGGGGGTGGGTGGGGCCACTGAGTGGGGACGCTAAGTGGGGATGCTAAGTGGGGGCACTAAGTGGGGGCGCGAGCACCCACCTGTGACGCGAGTGAGCAGCACCTCCTCCTCCTCGTGCTGCTGCCACTCTCCCCCCTGCCTGTCCTGTCCCTCCTCTCCATCTTTTCCCATCCATCCCCTCCTCTTCTGCCCCCCTTGCCGCCCGCCGTTGGTGCTGGCAGCAGGCGGCGCAGGCAGCAGCAGAGGTGGAGACTCTAGAAAGCCAGGGACGAGCAGCTTGGCATGCAGGGTGTTGTGGGCGGGGAAGTCAAACACCTCCACAGACGAGCCCTGTGCAGGAGGGGAGGGGGGCAACAGAGGAAAACAAGACAGCAGCTCATTCCATCAGACAAACGAGCGGTACAACCAACCTAGTACAAAGAGTGCAAAGCAAGGGTGCAGACAGAAGGAGCAACACAGGGAGCTTACTGTGGGAACTGGGAAGGGAAGCGGACCTGTGAATACAGCGGCGCGCAAGCAAGAAAAGGCAGCTCACAGGAGGAATGTAGATGGTGGTTGGCAGCAGAACGTGCTGGTCTGTGCAGATCAGTGTGACCGTAACCGGGACAAGCAGAAGGTTCTTCAACACAAGAGGCGCTGCGAGGCACAGCTGCTGCTCCCACGCCATGCCCACTTCCATTCCCTCACCCGCCTCTCCTCTTCCTCCGCCTCCGCTCTCCCTCCTCTCCCTCCTCTCCACCTCTCCCTCCCCGCCCACCGCCCACCATGCATCACTCCCTCCTCTGCTGTTTCTCCTGCCTCCTGCCCTTCGGCCATCCATAGGTGCAGCAGAGGATGTGAGCACGGGAGAAACGCAGCCAATGCTGACAGCACTGCCACTCCTGGAAAGAGGATAAGAGGGGCTCATGGTTGGGGGTGACGTGGCGTCATGGCTTGCCGTTGCCATCCTGGCAGTGCCTGCTGACGTGGCAGATGGAGCAGGAAGGTGCGGATTGGCCAGCAGAGCAGCAGCTTGGGCTGCAGCAGCTGCGGCAATGGCGACGGCATCAGCACTAGAGGACGAAACACGGCGGAGGGTGAGAGGGGGGCTGCTGGGATGTGAGCGGCTGTTGGCGGTGAGGGGAGGCGAGTGGGAGCGGTGGGCAGCAGCGGTGGCCCCGTGGTGTGGGCTGGTGACAGGCGTCCGGGGGATGGGGCAATGCGAGGGTGCCACAGCCACAGGTGGTAAGCTGGTGAATGGGGGTAGAGAGACAGACAGGCGGAGAAAAGGGGAAAAGAACGAAGTGTTAACGATAAAAGAACGTTGAGGAAGGAGCGCTGCAGCACAAGGGCAAAATTAGTCAAAGAGAGAAGAGGCGAAGAGTGTTACCTGAGAGGCAGAGGCGATTGGGAGGCGGTGAGGGAGAGGCAGAAGAGGGAGGGCGGAAGCAGATCAAGGGAGGCAGCAATGCCAGGAGTAGAGATGGACGATAACGATGCAGAGCGGGTCAGCAACGGTGCCACGCCAACAGTGCCACCAATGCCGCCGCTGCTACTTGCGCTGGTGATAGCACTCATGCTGCTGTTGCTACTGCTAGTGTCCAAGCCACTGGTGGCAGTGCAACTGACAGTGGCAGCATCCGGAGCCAGCAGAGCATCATCAAGCCTCGTCTCCTCACTCCACGCCCACGGCCCCTGGACTGGTCGCCAGCGGAGAGAGGTGGACGAGGTGAGGTGCAGAGGCAGATGGAGAGTGCTCTTGGCACCACACACCCCCACGTCTTCCACGGGCAGGTCAAGGCGGTGGCTGTGATGAGCTTGGAGTAGCAAGGGCATATGCGAGGCATTGACGATGGAGACTAGCGAGCGCAGGACAAGGCGGTGCTTGCGCCCCTCCCTCACCACCTCCAGCATCACAGTCCCGTGCACCTGCGCTGCCCCCCCTTCCACTGCCGCCACCCCTTGCAGCCCCACCCCTGTTGCTCCCCCCTCCTCTCCCCATTCCATTCTGGGTCCTTGCAAGGCCACGCCCTCAGGCCCCCCTTCCCTTCCATGTCTGGTCCCCCCTTTCATGTATGAGACAGGGAAGGCAAGGCGCATGCCGGCCTCCAGCAGCAGTGGGCGGCAGACTGAGTCACTGCCGTCCACTCCCACTCGCACCCACAACTGTCGGCCTGCCATCCCTGCTGCTGCGGTGCTGCCTGTGAGGCTCGTTGCCCGCCCCCTGCTGCTGCCCCTGCCATGGTTGCCCAGGGGGACCCTTGAGGAATGAGAGGTGTGGTGCGCGGTGGAGTGTGGTGCAGCTGATCCAAGGGAGGGAGAGCGGGTACGGGGAGGAGGGAGGCGAGAGGAGAGGGAGAGTGGCAAGCAGGCACCAACAGGCACTGTGATGTGCGGTGGGTTGGTGGGAGGAACGGTGGCTGCTGATGTTGTTGCTGATGCTGATGCTGATGCTGATGCTGATGCTGATGCTGATGCTGATGTTGGTGCTGTGACTCTAGAGTCTGAACAGCCCTCGTTGAACCAGAGGTGCAGATTCACGCCAGTATAGTTTTCCACCCAATAGTGTGATGACACGTGTTGGGCCTGAAAAGATGAGAAGAATGAATGAAAAGAGGCCCGATGGAGCGGAGACGAACAAGCTCGGACAAGGACACACAAGGCAACATAGGACACAAACAAAGGTTTGGCGCGAGCAGCAGCAGAACGGAGACAGCAGGGATGCAAAGAGCTGACAAGCAGCAATACGTGCGGCACTGCAGGTGCAGGGAGGACAGTAAGCACCTGAGGGTTGGAGAAGAGAGCCGAGGCGATGCATGCTGCCTGCAGTCACAGGAGAGGGTGGACAGCAGTGAGCACCATGTGGTGGTATATTAAGAAAAAGCTGAGTAGAACGTAAGCAAGGAATGTAGATCAGGAGAGTGGGCCAGGGGTAGGGCAGAGGAGGGCATATGAGGCAGAAGGAGGCAGAAGGAGGCAGAGGAGGGCATACGAGGCAGAAGGAGGCAGAAGGAGGCAGAGGAGGGCATTAGAGAAGCGGTGGGCTTCGAAGGGCAGAGTGATGCATGTTACCTCGAGGAGAGATGGCGTGAAGTTGAGATTGAGAGGATGTGACGAGGTGAGAGCCAGAGAGGTGATGGCGGTGGAAGAGGTGGAGGAGGGGAGGGGAGGGGGGAGAGTGGAGGCGGATGCAGATTGAGGGTTGGTGAGGGAGGAGAGGGAGTGCAGGGAGGCAGAGAGCTGAAAGGGCCACGGCTCACACAGAGGCTCCGAGGCAGCCTGGGAGGCGGGTGAGGGGGGAGGGGAGGAGAGAGCCAGGAGATGGTAAGCACGTGAAGGCAATAATGCAGGTAGAATGAGAACACGACACAAGGAGGAATGGTAATGAATCATCTCGACCTGATGGGAGGCAGACTGAACAGTGTGTGTGGTAATGCTGTCTTACCTCTTCCTACTGTGCGTGCTCCATCTCACAATGACAACCCACCTTGTCCTGGTTGAGATAGTGCAGGGCGAGGGTGGTAGCAAGAGACGCGTGCAGGTGGCCACTGGGCAGGCATGCAATGGCGTGGCCTGCTGTGGCGCTGAGAGAGAGGTGGAAGAGAGGCTCGCTCTCCTCCTCACTCTCCGCCACCACTGCCACCAGGCTCTCCACGCCCACAACCATCAACGCATCGCACACTGTGCTGCCGCTGCTTCTTCTGCTGTCACTGCTGTGACCCTCCTTGCTGCTGCTGCTCTGAAGTGGTGCACTTTCCTGCTGTCTCCTCTGCTGTGTTGTGCCATTGCCACTGCCTTGGATGGATGGAGCCTGCCCAGATGCAGCCTGCCCAGATGCAGCCTGCGCTGGAACCTGAAATCTTGCGAGGAAGTGCAGAATCTCAGGCGAGCAGCGTGCGTGCACTCGGCCCAGTGATACATGAGTGGCGAATGCCAATGTAGCATGTGGGGTGAAGGGAGACGCGTCCAAGCTACCAGAGGCTGCTGCACCTGATGCTGGTGATTCTGCTGGCGGTGCCTCCAGTGTGTGCCTCTCATCATTGTGCTCCCCTGTGTCTAAACTGCCCTCTCTGTTTTCTCCCACATTCTCCTGCTCCCTTCTCTCCATTTCCACTAGATCCTTCAGACAAGTCATGGCAAGCGCACTGCTGTCGTTTTCACGTGACTCCTCTGCATTTCTCCCTGTTGCCGAACCTCCCTCTTCCCTCACTCTGCCTGACCCCTCGCACCCCTCCTCCTCCACTCCGCCAGCACTTTTATCAGGCCCATCTACACGCGCCCCTGCCACACTCCCCGAGGGAGCAGCAGCTGCTGCCAGCCGCACCTGCAGCCCTGCCAGCTGCAGCAGGCGCATTGAGGCGGGAGGAGGAGGCGGCAGGCGAACAGATGGTGGGTTGGATGCGGTGGAGGCAGATGCAGAGGCAGTGGCAGGGGCAGGTGGGGGAGCATCGGTAGGAGGTGGCAGGAAGCAGCTAAGTCGGAGAGAAAAGGGGCTGGAGCTTGGAGGTAGCGAAGCAGCATTGAGCGTCGCAGGAGGGAGATGAAGCAGGTCAGACGTGAACAGCTCCGCAGCTGCAGCGCCACTGCCTCCATCACCGTCCCCACAGCCCACCCTAGAATGGCTCAAGCCAAGGTGGTGCACACATGACAGGTCCACAGAGTGTAGACTAGCAGAGATCATGGCTTTGCTGGGCCGAATACTGGCAGCAGGCACAGAAGCTCGCATGAGGGAGTGCACAGTCCTCACATGCACCACCACCGCACTGCACCCCTCCGTGTTGCTACCCCGTTCCCCTGGGCTGCACTGATGTGCCGTGCCTGCTCCCCTTTGCGCCTGTGCTGCCTGCCGTGTGTGGGTGTGAGGAGCAGAGGGAGGGGATGTGTGCTGCAATGCACCATGGGAGGTGCTTTGACTGGGAAGTATGAGAGTGAGCCCATCCACCTTCACACCTGCATTCACCTTCACATGCACACGCGCTGCTGCTTCTACAGCTGCTGCTGTATTGCCTCCATCACTGCCCGTGTCGATGATTTCACCGACCAAGATGCCAATTCCTTCCCCCTCTGCTCCCCCACTCGCCCCTTCCCCAAGAGACGCGCACAGCAACCCCTCCATATCACCATGCCCTCCACTACCACCAGCCTCGCCCAGCCTCACACCCATCATCCCCGTGAGCCCCTCTGCTCCCCCACCTCCCATCACACCTCTCCTTCCAATCCCCTGCCCCTCCCTTACGCCTGATCCATTGCTGCCTCTTGCAAGCTCACCACCTGCCGCCTCTGCACCTCCTGTGTCGCCTCCTTTAGGTGCCTTAGCAGCAAGCAGGGAAGCGAGGAGAGTCCAGGCAGGGAGGAAGGCCCAGAGAGTGGGGGAAGGGAGCTGAACAGTTGCCTGTATAGCCTGGGTGCTGCTCTGGGTGTCATGACGTGTTTGTGCTGGTGCTGCTACTGCTGGGGCTGCTGCGTTCACTGGGGTGGAAAGCGGTTCTTGGGATAGCAGTGAGGGGCTTGCCAGAGGGTGGGGAACGGGATGTGGGGCCTGTGAGGGGGGTGGAGTGGAGGCAAGGGAGGGGGACGCGGCAGTGGCTGGAGCGCGAGGGGGTGAGGCCGGGGTTGAGGAGGAGGAGAGGGAGAAGGCGAGGTACGGAGACAGGTGGGTATGAGCGGGGTCACGAGTCACTGAAATGAACCTTTCACGCTCCATCACAAAAAGAGGCACAGCCATTTGTAGAAACTCCAGCACGGCTGCTGGAATTTCCTCTGGTAGCCCTCCTGCTACTGCTTCTCCAGGTGCTTCCTGTGCTGTTTCTGCGGCTGCTGTCATTTCTTCCTGTGAAAAAGCAGGTGGTGGCATTGCCTGTCTGCTGGCTGAGGCTGCAGCAGCACTGCTATGCTGCTGAGAAGTGCTTGCTGCCTCTGCTAGTAAGCCCCAAAGGGCAATACTCTGCCACGTGGCCTTCACAAATTGGCCAGATGGTTGCAGCTCTGCAGTGCAGCGCAGATGATCGATGGAGATGAGGGCGAAGAGAGGTCCGGAAGGGAGAAGGAAGCAGGGGGATGCGCTATGAACGGAGGAGGAAGAGGAGGATGGGAGGGAGGTTGTGGTGCCTCGTGTGATGTGCAGGTGCAGGTGGTGCAGGTGGAAGCGCAGGGCGATGGGTGGGGAGGGCTGTTGGGGCGGTGGTTGGGGTGGGATGAGGGCGAGCAGCGCAGCGATGGAGCCGGATAGAAGGTCCGCCTCCCTCACAGGGGAATGCTCTGGTTGGGAAGGGGGAAGGAATCGGAGAGAGGGCAAATGGATGACACACGGGGAATGGGCGGAGCAGACTAGAGCCAATGCAGCAAATCAATGCAAAACGTACGTACTGACCTGTTTTGCCATTGGTTTTCTATCTAGAAACACGAACTGGTGTTATCCATGCAGCGATTGAATCCTCGGCTATGGCACACACCCATGAGGAGCAGTTGCACCGTGGGCACTTGAACCATAACTCGCAACCACTCATGCGGGCTCCCCATGGCTGCTATCTCCCCTCCTGACACCACCATCCCCGATGCTGCCTCAGACCCCACACCCGCTCCTCCTTGTGCTGCACCCTGCAGTGCAGAACGGGGCTGACTGCTGCCCCCAGCAGCCTGTGGCAGTGCGACATGCAGCAGCACGTCCACTCGCTGCACCACAGGCACTCTCTCCCCCACCCATCCCACCACCTCGTTCTCCTCCCCTGCACCACATGCGCCTCCACCAGATACCACCTCACGGAGTGGCAGCAGCTTGCCAGTGGCTATGCTCACTCTGAATCCATCCACCCTCACCTCCACCGCCTCCCATTCCTCATCAACACTGTTCCCAGTGTTCCCCACTCCCACCACTGTGTTCTCTCTTCCTGTCTCGCCCCCTTCGTTGCCTCCTCCCCCGCTTATACCACTAGTTTCCTGCTGCTCTCTCCCATCTAGCCACGTGATTGTGCCAGATGAGGACCAATCCCAGCATGCCACGTGGCGTGGGAGGTTGGCAGTGATGAGAGGCAGCTCAATAATCAGGCACGGATGGCCCACCCATTGTCCCAACATTGTTGCCGGTTTGATCCCATTAGATCCACGTGGCTGAATCTGACTGGCTGTGGAAGGCTGGAGCAAGCTCTGAGGATGTCCTAAGGGAATGACAGCAATCTCACACCCCTCTACTCTTACGGCCCCCTCCACTATCATTCTCCCTTGGCCTTGCTCCCACTCCTCCCCTCCGCCCTGCGCCTCACCCCTCTCCTCCACCACTTCCCATCTCAGCGGACTATCCCCCACAGGGCTGAAGAATTGCGCCCCTGACCAGCTGTCGCCCTCTCCCGACCCACTCCCCGCCCCCCCAACACTCCCCAGGCCCCCCACGCTTGCCCCCTCCCCCCTCTCCCGCTTCCCTTTGCCTTTCACCCCCAAAGGGCTGGTTTGGCTGCTCCCGCTGGCCCGCCCCTCCCCACCCGCCCATGCCCCTGACCCTCCGCTTCTCAGCTGCCTCACTCCCCCAGCCCCCCGAACAGCAATCCCCCCTCGCAAGGGCGAGGGGGAGAGACGCGTGGTGGCAGGGGAAGCAATGGCAGTGCGGGCTGCTCTGGGCTTTCCTGTGTGTTGGCTGGATGGAGACGGGGAATCGGAAGAGACGGGCATAAAGAGAGGGGTGTGTGCATGGTGTGTGATATAGGGAGAGGGTGAGGGGCTAGTGGCAGTTGTGAAACTTGCGTGCTGTGACTGCTGCTCCTGCTGCCCCCTCTCTCGGCCATCCTGTGCAAGCGGCAACACTGATGCAGCCTCCCCACTTTCCCCAGCAGCAGCGTGGGTAGAGAGAGCAGTCACGGAGGGAGCAGGGAGGTAGCGCGTGACATGGGTCACAAGCCCGTGTGTGAATGGCTGTGAGACCACGAGCAGCAGGCGAGAAACAGCCACATCCACATGCAGTGTGGCGCCTGCCCCAGCTACACCCTCCCCTGATGCCCCTGTGTGAGCACCATGGGCTGCAAAGGTTATGGTACCGGGTTGTGCTCCTGGTACCCATACACTGCCCACTATCACCTGCTTCTGCTGCTGCTGCTGCTGCTGCTGCTGCCCTTGCTGCAGTTGTAGTGTGCTTTGTGGGGTAGTGGAGGAAGGATCTGCAGGGAAATGAGGAACATAGCGGCCCCCATCACCAACAGGGCCCCATACCTCAAACCCACTGATGCGCCCACAGGATGCCCACGTGGCAGGCAGTGACTGGCCCATCACATGCTTCACATCTGCCTGCACCAGGGCCTCACCCAGCGAAGCAGTTGCCACCTCCACCACATGGCCCTTCCCCTCCCCTTCCTTCCTTCCTGTCATCCCATGAGTTCCCTCTGCTCCTGCATGCAGTCCCCCTTGTGTTGCCTCGTCCCCCTCCTCCATCAGCCGCACCACCAGTCCAGTTACTCTGCCGTCCAGAATCAGTTCTGTGCCGCCCGCACCTGAGTCGTCAGGAGCAGGCAGGACGACGTGAGTGGATGGGCTGCGGGTGGGAGCGGGATGCAGCAAAGAACCTTGCTGAGTGGCAGCGCCACCATGGTGTGAGGCAACACCCCCAGCAGCCGCAGCAGCGTCAGTAACATCATCTCCAGACACCTTCTCAAACACAGTCCGTGCACTCTGCCTCTCCATACCCTGCCGTCCCACTCCTACCCGCCCTCTCGACCTCTGCGCACTCCTGCCCAGCGCATCAGCAGCCAGCACTGCTGGCAACAGCAGGGCGTCAGTAGTGGGCGGGGGAGAATTGAAGGGCGAGGAGGCAGCGGAGGAGAAGGAGCTAGGGGGGCTCTCGAAGAGAGAGAGGTCTGCAGAGGGGTGCGTTCCCATGAGTCCACTCCCCCCCTCCCTGCCCTGGGAGTGGTGTCTCTTGCTTCCTCCGCTGCCTGGCAGGGGGGAGAAGGGCGAAGGGGGAGTGGGGGTGGAGAGGGAGGAGGAGAAGGCGAGTAGGGCGAGGAGGGTGGGTTGGAAGGCAGTGAGGTGGAGGGAGGAGAGGTGGAAGGAGAGGGAAGTGGAGTCACGAGATGGTGCAGTCAGCGACCTTGATTTAAGACACAACTCCACGCGCAACACACACTCCCCTGCTCCTGCCCCGTCTACTGCCGCTGCTTCTCCTGATGTGGCTTCGGCAGATACGCCAGTCAAGCCTAAATTCTCTCCTCCCAGCCAGAGAGCAGTGCTGGCGGGACTTTCTACTGAGGATTGGCCACCACCCAGTCCTCCACCACTCACAGCCTCTCCCATGGGAGCCCCTGCCTGGCCAGCAGTTGGTATGGCAGGCATGGGCAGCGAGGAGAAGGAGAGGCAGGCGGGGAGTGAGGGGGCAGAAAGGACGCGGGAGACGAGCATGTGGGGAGCCGACGGGCCAGTTTGGTTGGAAAAACCTGAATACATTTGTGGGGAGAGCCAGAGTTGTGGTGATGGGTTAGGCTGAAAGGAGAGAGCGGGGGAGGAAAGGATGGAGTGGGGCATGGACGCGGTTGTGGGAGGGTGTGACGTGGTTAAGGCACGCGTTTGGTTGGGGGAGGAGGGTAAGTGCGTTTGAATGATGTGGTAGGCGAGGCAGGAGGGGGGTCGCGAGGAATCAGTGAGTTCGAGGCGGTGCAGAGTGGCATAGACGCGCTCCTCAAGTAGCTTCTGCACTAATCTGTAGTGAGCGCACAGCCGGACAGGGCTCACATGCACACATGCACGCGCGCCCACACACACACACACACACATGCACACACACACACACACACACACACACACACACACACTCTCTCTCTCACACACACACACACACACACACAAGCCACACACACACATCGAGAACAAACCATTGCTGCTGTAGTGAGAAGGAAGAGCCTAGCCACAAGACATGGCGGCAAGATGCAAGGCACGAGGGCAGTCACTCACCGAACGTCCAAGCCTGTAGCCTCAAGAGTGATCATGTGGGTTCCTGACGGCCCCCCCTCTGCAGCCACCCTGCTTTGCCCAGCCCTGCTGCGCTTGCTGCTGGAACCATGAGGTTCCGTCGACAAGGTACTCATGTCAAGTCGCACTGTGATCTTCCCCACAGCCACTCCTACATCCGAAATGGGCGTGCCTGTTAGTACATCCATGCCACTCGCCACTGCCACCCTCCGTGACTGCACCCGACTTATCCCCCCTGTTCTTTTCTCTGCTTTCCCATCTCCAATGCTGCCGCCACTTTCACTTGTGGCCCCACTTCCGTCCCCTCCAGCCTCACGTTGCTGCTGTTGCTGCTGTTGTTGCTGCTGCAGTAGCAGCAGAGGGAGCCCGGTGTTTTCTAGATCAGGCGAGGCCAGCAGCTGCTGAGGCACCTTGGCAGCGTCGCGCTGCAGAATGGTGTGAAGCATTTCGGACCAGGACGGAGTAGATGTCAGCCGTCCGCTGCCACTCCTTAGACCGCCCCCGCTTCCTGCCTCGCCTGGAATGCCCCTCCTTGCACCTTGACCCCCCGTTCCTCCTTGCAGCTGCCCCACGCGATGTGGGACAGGTATGGGCCCTGAGGCATGCAGAGGGTTGCTGCTGCTGGTGGGGGCAGCGTGGGGAGGGGTTTGGGAGGATGAGGTGGTGGGAGGGAAGAGGATAGCGGAGGAGGATGGCTGGTGTGCTGGCTTGGGGGGCGGGGACGATGGGGGTGGAGTGAGGGAAGAGAGGATGGAGAGGAGGAGGCGGAGATTGGGGAGGGAGAGGATGATGGAGATGTGCGGAATGCTGCCTTGCACCTGCAGAGAACAAGGGAAAGGCGAAGGTGAAAACAGGGAGTAAGATGGAAGCAATGAGCTGCGATGGGGGAATGGGATGTGGTGGGGGAAACGGCTGTGCTGCAGAGGGGAAGTGAGGTGGGAAGGTGGTGAGCTTGAGTGAGGAGGAAAGCTAGGCAGTGCACTCACAACAGCTTTGGTGGTGGCAGGGTCGCCTGAGAGGGCACAGAGCAGCAGGTGCAGGTGGATGGAAAACTCCTCTACTAGAGGCAGCTCCCTGCCAGTCTCACTGCCACCCTCCCCTGCACTGCCCACTCCTGCCATGCTGCTACCACCACCACCGCTCATCCACATGTTCCCCAATGCCCCCGGTGCTCCTGGGGGCAGGCCTGGCCAAAATGGTTGGGAGACTGGTGGGGCTGGGGGCGTGGGTAGTGCTGTGCGAGGGGGTGGTGGAACCAGAAATACCTGCGGGGCAGGGGCAGGTTGGAGGTAAAGAGGAAGTGTGGGAGGCTTGGAGAAGGGCGGAATGGCAGGCACATAGTATGGGGCATACAGGGAGTTAAGGGAAGAGAAGAAAAGGGGAAGACAAGAAAAGCGAGGAGCGACGGACCTTGACAGCAGCGGCTCTAACTGCGACACTGTCAAATAGCACCATCTTCTGAACCCACTCCGCCATGCCTCTCTTCCCAACGCCTCCCGCCCTTCCCCCTCCCATCTGTCCATTCCCATGCCCAGCGTCCGTACCACAGCCTGTTCCTCCTTCCATACCTTCACCGCCCACCCTCCCCACCCTCTCTCCTTCCTTCTCCTCTCTCCCTCCTCTCTCCACTTCAACTCCTGCTGCCGGCCCCTGACCCTCTGCCGTTCCTCCTCTCATACCAACGTCACTCCCGCCCATCAGGCCCTTCTCGTCCAGGACGGAGAGTGCTGACCGCAGGTTGCCTGAGGAGGCGAGGGCGTTTGCAAGGAGGGAACGCTCAGGGGGCTCAGGGATGGACGAGATGTGCAGTGACGCCAGCTGCAGCACCTGCACTTCCACACGGGGGGAGCAGAGGAGACGGATGGGGAGGTGTGGCTCTAGAAGGAATTGATGCAGGCAGATGAGAAACAGTACACTAACTCGGTGTAGCTTATGCTGATTTTGGAAAGCACTTGCCAAAGCATTCTTTCTGCCTGTGGCACTATGGTAGTCAGGCAGGCTTACCAGCAGGGGACAGGGGCAGGCAGAGAGGTACGTGTCAGAGTGTGGAACAACGACTGTGAGGCTTGCCACGTCCACATGCAGATGCAGCACCTTGCGCGTGGCTAGCACCAGGCTGGGGGGAGAAGTGGCAGACAAGAAAGGACAGAGAGAATCAGCGAGATTGGAAGGCCGGGAAGAGCAGAGGAATGAACAGAGCGCTGCAATGCGATGCGATGTGACCTGTGGAAGACACATGCAGGGCAGGGGCGCCTCAGGTTTCAAGAACTTTGGGAGTGGTGGTGGGAAATAGATGAGTAGAATGTGCAGTGCAACTCACCCGGACTTTGCCGTGGCTCGAGCGGTTGTTGAGTCCAACGAGTTGATGGACGCAATCACCTATTGGCATGGCGGGACATAGGGTGGCGTGGCATGGGTGGCAGAACCAGAGTTGTGTGACCGAAAACGATACACCTGTTGCATTTGTTCTTGGTGTATTTGTTGCAACGACATGGGACGAGACTGACTCGAATGTGCACCTGTTCCTGGTGTGTTGGCACGGTCGTGGGATGGCTGAAGAACATTCCCACCCGCTTTAGCACCTCCACGCCCACCACCGCCTGCACTGGCTCCACTGCCACCTGTTGTCATGGAAACAGATGAGCAGAGGGGCTATTTGAGACGTCTCAAAAAACGTCACATTTCACCCACCACCACCTACGCTGGCTCCACTGCCACGTGCTGTCCTAGAAACAGATGAGCAGGGGGGCAGGAAGACAATGAGCGGGGCAGAGAGTCGAAGCAGAGAACGGGAGGGCGACAGGAGGCGGTGGTGTAGCAGGTGGGTGAGAGTTGCGCTGGCAGCAGGTGAGTGATGGTAGGCAGACGGCTCACCGAGATTGTCGTCTCCATCTCTTTGGGTGCACTGCCTTCCACCTCATCACCTCCCACTCCACCATTCCCGTGCCCATGCTCATGACCATGGCTATGAGTATGGGGCGAGTGCACTTCGATTTCTACCCGCAGCATTGGTCTCGCCGCCACAGCTTGCATCTGCGCCACAGGCCTCCACCCATGCACCTCACTCTCACCCCCATAGCCCCTCCCCCCCACCTCACCCCCTCCAATCCCTCTCTCGCCCCCACCACCCATGGCAACCGCATGCTCTGCTGCAGCAATGGCACCGATACCCAGAGCTGACTGATTCCGTCGCATGTTCGCCCAGCCTCCATTGCCCACCCCCATGCCCATGCCCATGCCCATGCCCATGTGCAGAACTATAGCCATGCCCTGCCAGAGGCGCATGGGCATGGGGATAGGCATGCGAGCCCGGGTACCCAATCCCAGCACCTGCTCCCAGCAGCATACCCAGTCTCCCATCCGCCCCCACCCCCACCCCCAACCCCACGCGAGAATTCGTGCGTGGTAACATCTGTCCCTTCCCCCCGCCCCCCACAGGTCCTCCCAGGCCCGCCCCCAGGGCTGGGCGGCCCAGGCCCCAGGCAGCACTGGAAGAACGCATTAGCAGATGGCCGTGGCCGGCTGGGGAGGGAGAGGAGACGGTGGAGGGCGAGGCGAAGGAGGAGGCTGCGGAGTGGAAGGAGGGGTGGGATGGGTGGGATGTGGGGAGGAAATCGTGCAGAGAGGCGTGTGGGAGCTGCAGGGGAGGGGAGAGGGGAGAGAGATAGGAACATGAGAGGAGTAAAACACGTGCATAAACTTTGTTGGGTGACTGCACTGCTGTTGAGAAAGGTGCAAGGAAGCACAGGCACAGAAAAAACTCACATGTGGAAAAAGAATCCTGATGGCCTCATCCTCCTGAGAGGAGGAGGGAGAAACTTTTCTCCCTTCTCCTCCAGTATCTCCAAATTTTACTCCACTGCTCATGCCCCCTGCCATGCCTACACCCGCTCGCATGCCCTTAGTGCCTGGTCCAGCAAACGAGGCAGAGGCGTCCAGTGTGCCCTTTGCGGCCCCTGAGGTGCTCCAGAGGTCGAAGGCTTCAAGAGAGGAGAGAGTGAGGGAGAGGGAGGAGGAGGTGGTCCACACTCGCGAGTTGAGGAGCAGCCCTCGCAGCCTGAGGCTCAGAATGTCCCGCCGTGAGTAGCTGGAAGGAGGGTGGAAAGCGGAAGGAGCGGCAGGAACAGGGGGAGATGGAGTCGTGTTGTAATGGGAAAGCATTTCAGGCCCGACTCGGAGGGGAGAAGACAAGAGAGAGATGGTCTGGGGCTTGCTTGTCGGAATAAGGGAGATGCAAGTGGGGATGCATTAAGTAAGGTGGAAGGAAAGAGAGAGCACACTCACGAGCTGCGCAGGGAGGCATGGCCGTCTGCCACCTGTGCAGTGAACGCCAGTCGACACACCGACACCGGTGCCCTGCTATGAGCCGCTCTGTGAGACGCCTCATGGAGCACTCGTCTGGGGGGCACAGTGGAGTCCTCGGGAATGGACGTGTCGAGTGAAGAGGAGGATTCGGAGAATGAAAGGGTGTGCACGGAGGAGCGGCTCCTGTTCATGGCTCTGGGTGCTGCTGACGTGGCATCCATGGCCATAGATGCCGATGATGACGTGGATGCTGACGTGGACATCCAGGAAGGCTCATCCAGCCCGTTATCCCCATCAGCAGCATCAAAGGGAGAGTCCAGTGTGCGATAGAGCTCCTCTAAGTCACGATCGCTGACAGCAGCCATGACATCAGCTGCTGCAGATGCATCAGAGCCACCTGCGCCCAGCATGCCCTGGGATAACCAGTTCAACCACCCCCTCCCCCTCCGCTGCTGCTGCTTCTTTTGTTTCTGCTGGGCGGCTTTACCCTTGCGCCTGTCCCCTCGCCCGTCTTTCTCCTCGGAAGCATCTTCCGTGTAGTCTTTTGTCGCGGAGGGGTTGCCCCATTCTGTGCGGGCAGCGCGCTGCAGAGCGAAGAGAGGAATGAGAAGGCAACAAAGGGGAGGGTGGGCGAACATACAATTTCTGTCGAGGAGTCAGCAGGGGTCGAAGAGGCAGACAAGGTGAACATCAGAAAGTTGTATCTACAGCAGCACGAAACACAGTCATGCCACAGACAAGAAGACTGCATACCTGAGCAGCAGCTGTTCTGAATAGGAGAATGTCCTCTAAGTCCAGCTCGTCCTCCATCTCCTCCAGCTGCTGCCTTTCCTCCACCTGCACGCCAGAACAGGCATATACATATTTGTGTATCAATTTAGATCAAAATAAAGAAACAAACCAGGAAAACGTAGGCCAACACATAGCAAGTGCGAAAGGCTTCCACAAGGAGGAACGTGCTCACAGGGAGGTCTTGCAGCAACTCCAGCTTCCTTGTGTACAAGGCCACATACTTCCGCCGCTTTGCCCTGGTGTGGCGGTACCAATGGTGGGGTGGAGCAAGGCAGGAGCGTGTTTCGGAGAGAGGGGAGCGACGGGATTAGAAAGTACGGAAGCAGATGAGTGGTTTACAGGAGAATACGACAGGGCGAGCATGCATGTGGTGTACGGAGGGAAGGTGGTGTGGGAAGAGTGCTGAAGTGAAGGCATAGGTGGTTGGAGAGGAAGGAACGTACAGGCGGGAGGGAAGGTAGAGGAAGGAGCGGCGGTAGAGGCGTTGGCGCACATCAAACAGCACAGCGTTGAGTGCATATGACCACAGTACGCGCACTCTCTCACTGCCCACGCTGCTGCTGCCACTGCTGCTGCCGCCCTGCTGACCCCCGCTGGCTGCAGTTGTGTTGTCGGCAGGCTTGGTGGTGCCATTTGTTGGTGTGGTCTGGGAGGACGAGAACAAGGCTGCGGGGCGAAAGCGGCCATACCTGCGGAGAGGCAAGTATGCAGAAAAGGAACATGAAGTGGCAGGCAGCAGGCAAAAGTGGGTGCGAGAACATGCAGCACACAAAGAGACATGTGAACAGTGTCAGAGTGTGTGTGTGTGTGTGGTGACATAGGGATGCAAAAGAAGGACCTTTCTCTGAGGTGTAGCACGTTGAGAGCATCGGCTAACAGCAGCACGTCCTGGTACTGGTGCTCCTCCAGAGACACTCGCTGGCACAGGCGGGGAGATAGCAGCGGGAGGTGAATGGAAAGTGTTAAGGGGCATGGGAGAGAAAGCACGCAATGTATCGAGAAACAGAGCAGCAGGTATTCTAAGCATCCAAAACATCTGGAGAGAGATGCCTTTTCCTGATTGTGACGTGTGATCGCAAAATACCAACATACCAGGTGGTTGCTGTACATCAGATCAGGTGATTCCAACATACCAGGCAGTTGCAACGGAGAGAGATAGACACAGGAGCAGTGCTTGTGTGCACAGGCGGGCCCATATGCATCTGGAGGGGGGAAAGGGACGGTGAGGAACTGGGGTAGTCTGTAGACGGATGACAACACCCGATGGTGATGGAGATTGAGAGACGCGGTGAGGTGGGAAGTGAGAAGGGGTTGCTGAAGCACAAGAAGGTGATAGGTCAGAGTACCAACAGTGAGGCCGTGCATTTGGACGCCACATGCACTGGTGCATCATGATAGCCATCGCTATGTGCAACGATATCGTTAGCAAGTGTAGCCATGTCATCAACCCACTCATGCCTTACCACGAGTCTGATGGAAGCATCTAATGGGTGCAACATGTTGTTCGCCTCTGCTGCCGTTCCTTCCTCCCCCCTCCGGCCACCACTGAGTTGCCCCCTCCCCGTTCCTATCTGGTCACCCACCTCTCTTCGCTTCTGCCTCTTGACACCCATCCCTCCATCCTCCTCCTCATCATCACTAGGCACTAACTCACCCTCGCCCCACACTATGTCCTCATCCATGCTCTCCTCTCCTCCCCTCTCTCCTGACCCACCCCTCACTGCTCCTCGCTGTCTCCATCTATCTCCACCCTCTGCCTCTTCCTTCCCTGCCTTCCTCTCCCCACCTCTGTGTCCATTAGGCGCAGGAGTGCTTCCTTCGAACCCTCGCTTGCAGGAATTCCAGTAGAACAACAACCCCCGCACCTCAATGCTCTTCCTCAAACTCCTCCCTGCCCCTCCTTTCCTGTCCGCGTCCCCTATCTGTGGCTTCCCCTGCATCCCTCCGTGCCCCTGCGCCGTCTCCTGCTCCCACTGCTGCTCCAGAAGCTTCTCTGTGGGCGTCTGGCTGTCTGGCGGCACAAAGAAGGGAGCATTCGAACCAGCAGCAGCAGCAGCAGCAGCAGCGGGCCGTGGCGAGAGCAGTGGCGGATGCAGAAGCAATGGCGTCTGCAGCAGCGGCGGCGGCAGCAGCAAGGGGGTCCTTGGAGGCAGCAGCGGCGACAGAGAGATGGTCCAGGTGCAGGCCAAACTCAAAGGCCGCCTGCAGGGGCACGGAAGTGAGCAGGATATTGACACGAGGAGGATTTGCATTGATGGAAAAGTGGAAAGGACGGGCATGTGGAGGGGATGAAAGCGGCAAAGCAGTGGTTTGAGGAAGGAGCTCCAGAAGCACAGATGGGACGAGGAGATGGCCATTGGCCACGTGGAAGTGCATGTCGAGTGGACGGGGTGGAGCAGGGTGCACACTGCAAGTTTCAATCGGGCACGAACCTTGGGGTCCGAGGAGGAATGCGTGTACTTGACATGTACCGATGTCACCAGCACCTCCAGAGCGTTCAGTCCCTGTCACAATACAGATAACGAAGGTGATGCAGGTGATGCGGAACAAACAAGGCAGCGGCTGACATGCTGGGGTGACAATCGGCATGACGATGCGGTGGATGCAGCAGCATCCCAGCGAGCAGAGAGGATGTGTGATATTAGCAATGATGCGATCTCCATACGCTACCTTCAGTAATGTGTGAAGTGCAGGCCAGTGGATGTGCAACATGAAAGCTGCATGTATGTGCAAGATGAAAGCTGCATGTATGTGCAACATGAAAGCTGCATGTATGTGCAAGGTGCATACTCAGCAGGGTTTCTAAGGAGAGCAAGGAGGGACTGGCATGGCATCAAGCAACAAGCACGAACAAGACTACAAGAAGAAGATGCCTTACAATGGCTGAAAAGTACGATAGCGCTGACGCCCCAACACCATTGCCTGGGTCCAAACAACAATGCAGTCGCAGAGAAGATACCAAACGTGAGAGCACAGGTACTAAATGCTTGCAAATAAAAAATGCTAAGGCTCCACTCATCAAGCAATGACGTGGCAATGAAGGATGAGGTGTTTCATTCACCTTATACATTGCTCCCCAACCTAACCCTTTTCTCACATCATCTCGGCCTCCTGCCCTCACGTCACCTCACCCTGCTCTGACATCTTCACCACCTCGGCTGCAGCCAGTGCTGCCCTCTTGGCGGCTCTCTCTCTCACCAATGCTGGCCCCTCCGACCACTGCACAGCACATCATGGGCAGGGGAAGCACAAGGTGCGGTGACGTAGGAGGGAATCGCAGGCAAAACCAGATCAGTGGGATAAAATCACCAATGACAAGGATCACAGCTGGGGAAAGTGATGCAACAAGAGACGAAGGGTCCGGGATTTAAAGTTTAGGAACCACTGAGTGAAAAAGCAAGCAGCCGATACTCAGGGACCCACCTCATGGTCGGCCCTCGGTGCCATCACTATAAGCACGTCGCTGATAGTCACAGATACGCATGGCTCTCGGCCCAGCCTTTTCATGGACAGCTGCAGACTGAGACTGCCGATCTTCCCTGCCACCACACAAGAGGAAATTGCAGAGTCCAGAAGCTTAGCAGGAAAGCCTTATTGTGGTTAATAAGTGGATAAAGAAAATATATGCTTGAAACACAAATTAATGTGACCATTGAATTTTAAGCAATTGTTGATGAAGGAAATCTTCCTCCGTGAACGTCGAAGCAGCAAAACCATGAGGTGGCATGGTGTGTCCTTGATGCGGAGTGAAGAGCAGTGCAGTCCTGGAAACTTTGACAGATATACCATGGTGAATGGAGAATGGTAGCTGAAGGTGGTCGAATGCTGCCGTGTTGATCTCCAGGTCGTTCAGTCTTACCACCCCTGCTCAAGCAACAGCAGTCAGACACTTTTGATACGATTGATTGTGAAGTCAGACGACGTGATTTTGGGGGTCAGTGGACAGGATTTGCGGGCCAGACGACTGGCTTTGGGGTTCAGTCGACTGGCTTTTGGGGTCAGACGACTGGATTTACCCTGAAGGCTTTGCTTCTGAACGCAGAAAACCGGCATGATTCTGAAACCAGATATCTGGATTGCTTCTGAAGCCAGACGAATGAGATAATTTTGAGGTGAAGTGACAAGATTGCTTTTGTCGGCAGACAATTGATTTGATAATCTAGACGCTTTATCAATCCTGAAGCGAGCCAAATAGATTGATTCTGAAGCAGCCGATCAAAATGGTCCCAAAAACAATTAATTCAGTTCTGAAGCCTGACGACTGGATTCCAACTCAGTGACAGAATCGATCCTGAAGACAGACAACTGGAATGCTCAGAAGGAAAACGACTGAATGAATACTGAAGTCAGACAACTCGATCATCCTGAGCCAGTCGACGAAATCGCTTCTGAAGGCAGATAGCACAGGTAATTCTGAAGACACGTTGTTGAAGTGCGTCTAAGGTCTGTCAAATGTTTAAATTTTGAAGTGAAACAACCGATAGTTGGCAATAACCATGGAATTCGCTTATACGGCGATGCTCTTGCAATCAGGCTATGCAGCGACCTGGAATGGGGCAAAACGGGACGTGAATCATGGTCTAATGCTTCGTAAGCAAGACATTAAGTTCGTGAGACTCACGTCGCCATACTCCGATTCGGAGCTGCTCCTTGTGGAAGTTCTTGAGGTAATGCGAGAGGTAACCTCCCACCAGCGAGAACACGAGACTTTCCAACATTACGCTGGGCTTCTTTGCAGTCAGATTCGGTCCGGAAGTGATGTCATAGTAACGCTGCTTCCTGAAATGCGAATGTCAGGCAACTATCGGCAAGGACACGGTCATCACAGACAGCAGAGACAAAAATTCCAGATGCTCCTGACGAGGATGTTGTCAATGTGCTGCTCATGAGACAAGGAATTCGTCTGGTCATGGCTACTAATGACGCTAATGTCTAGAGGTTCAGCCTTGATCGAGTGGGGTGAATGACATCTCGCCTTTTCATTAAAAAGAACTACACTCCATTTACGTGAATGCAATATGACCACCACTACTCAGGAAACACACACACTCATACCTCGTTTACCCAATGATTTTTTTTTCAGGCATAATGCTTCCAGAGCGACGTTGCAAGGCAAAAAAAACAGTGGTTTATAACACCCATATTCTTCAATTACATCATATACAGTCTGATAGATACTATCATGCAGTAACAATTTTGAATTAAAATCGTGGGATTAATTTTGGACGTGGTGCATTTAAGCTGCTGCTACCTTGTTTATTTCAGCTTGTTTTGCACCTCAGCTTATTTCAGTTTTCCAGTTTTTCAGCTTTTAGGTTCTATGATTGAATACAAACCTAGTGTGCACTTTCTTTTGTATGCCCTTTTTTGAATGTGATTATTTGAATGTGTTGACGTCACACCTGGACTCCGGCCACCTGGCCTTACAGGCCGAGTTCAGATTGCAATGACCCGATGAACCAATCACATCGTGCCAAATCAGGCCCCTATCATCTGGTTCATTCCCGAATCGTCGCAAATGCTTACTTTTCTGGGGCAAACCGTGCTTGGAAGGGGCGTGACTGAACCGACACTCCCTGGACCCTCGGAGTCTGATTCAGAGGTGCATCACCAGCACAGGCAGTGAGCTCCCTAAGGGCACCACCACCACGCTCTAGTCTTCATCTTTCAGATACACCTCGTGAAACAATCGTGTGAGGTGTCTCTCCCTGAAGCTCAGCCAGTCTGTTCGAAAGTCAAATCTAGCCATGGCTGCCGTGACTTGCCCTTCGGCTACCGTGTCTCGCGCGTCCCTCGCGCCGGCGTCCCTGTCAGGCGTGTCTAGCCGTAAGAATGTGAGCTTCTCTAGCTTCACCCCGAAGGCCAACTTCGGTGTGAAGGCGGCCGCTGGACGGGTGACGATGGAGGTCGCTAAGGACAAGCCCAGAGAGGGGTCCAAGGAGCCGTCCAAGGAGACGCTCCTCACCCCCCGCTTCTACACCACCGACTTCGACGAGATGGAGCGGGTATACTCCACGGTCTTCGTCGCTGCATCTTATCGCTTTAGCTCGAACCACAGCACAGGGTCGAAACGAGGGTAGTTTGACAGGAATTTCGATATGAAGTGTCGCATTTGCCGGCGGTAGGAGACATCAAATTGCGTTTTTTTTTTTTTTTTTTTTTTCCTCCCATCCCTGCTCCAGCTGTTCAATAGGGACATCAACCCGTACCTGAACCAGGCGGAGTTCGACGCGTGCCTGGAGGAGTTCAAGGCGGACTACAACCAGACGCACTTCGTCAGGACGCCTGAATTCAAGGCTGCTGCGGACAAGATCCAGGGCCCCGCCAGGGATATCTTCGTCGAGTTCCTCGAGCGGTCGTGCACAGCCGAGTTCTCCGGCTTCCTCCTCTACAAGGAGCTTGGCCGTCGCCTCAAGGTGCGTGTGCATTTAACAGCGTTTCCAGCATGGTAGATTCTACCCACATTTCCAGTATTAGCATTTTTCGCAATAGATTCGGTGTCTTATCTCCTGTCGTTGGTCGGCTTCTCTTGTGCAGAAAACCAACCCCTGCATCGCTGAGATTTTCACCCTCATGTCTCGTGACGAGGCCCGACATGCCGGGTAAGTCCACTCGCACGCCTCTCAATTGGTAACCTAATTTGAATCGCAATATCCGTGACCTCTTTAACCTCATTTCTGTCTGCTCTTGCCAGTTTCCTGAACAAGGCTCTGTCCGACTTCAACCTGTCTCTGGACCTGGGTTTCCTCACCAAGGCGCGCAAGTACACATTCTTCAAGCCGCAGTACATCCTGTACGCCACGTACCTGTCTGAGAAGATCGGCTACTGGCGCTACATCACCATCTGGCGCCACCTGGCCCAGAACCCTGAGTACCAGTGCTACCCCATCTTCCAGAAGTTCGAGAACTGGTGCCAAGACGAGAACCGCCACGGCGATTTCTTCACCGCCATGCTCAAGTGCTACCCTAAGTTCCTCCAGGACTGGAGCTCCAAGCTCTGGGCGCGCTTCTTCTGCCTCTCGGTAAGCCCAGTGCCGACACAAATGTGATACAATTCACAGACAGGTTAGGTTGCCGCTGACTGTCTGTGCGGTTGTTCACTCGAGATGTCTCCCAGTTCTACTGTCTGGTATTTTCTGGGTTGAAGCTAACAATCTTTTCTCCGTGCTCTCTCGCAGGTGTACGTGACGATGTACCTGAACGACCACCAGCGCACGGCGTTCTACGAGGGCCTGGGCCTGAACACGAAGCAGTTCAACATGCACGTGATCATCGAGACCAACAAGACCACGGCGCGCATCTTCCCAGCCGTGCTCGACGTTGAGAACCCCGAGTTCCAGCGCCGCCTTGACGTGCTCGTGGGCCTTAACCAGAAGCTCGTGGACATTGGCAAGAGCGACGCCCCCGATGCTCTGAAGAATGTGCAGCGGTTCCCAGTGCTGGCGTCGTTTATTGGCGAGCTGCTTGCGCTCTATTTCATGCGGCCAGTGGACTCCGGTTCTGTTGACTTCATTGACAACGAGGCCCAGGTTGTGTACTAAGCGATTGATGGTTTAATTCAATAGGACCTGCCGCTGCTGCCTGTCTTGTACATGTGGAATACCGGGAAGGAAAGGAGACACAATTTCGCTTAGCTTGCCTCTGGTTTGATCTGAAAGGAGAGCTAATATAATCTGTACGAGGAAGAAATGGTGAGCAATAGGTTCTCTGCCCATAACTACCCCTGATGGTCACCTCATATCACACAATCTTACCTCTCGATTCCTGAACTACCTTCTGACATGGCACATGTAATTAGTCATCTCAAAGAAAATGCAAGAACTCTGAGGCTTATCTGGTCAGGTCTTTCTTTACAGTTCATGCTTCTCATCTCAGGAATCAAAACATGTCTGCTCAGTGGAAAGTAGTTATCTACATTAACCTTTTCGCACCCTGTTATGGCGTCTTAGATTAATGGAGGACGTACAGAAGAAGTACGGTGCCTAACTAAACCCTGCACATTGTGGAAATCTGTTTGTGAGTGCGGTTGACATGCACAGTATAATCAATACAGCTACATACCAAATCACCTAAATGTCCTATCATTCTCATCCTGATTGGTCAGATGCAATCTTGACGCAGCAGCTCTAGTCAGCCGCATGTCAGGCGAAACAGCAGCATCCCGCTGCTTGGCAACAAAATCACCAAACACACGCAGGGGCAGCTCACGGGGAGCAGCCAGTCGCCTCCTCTGATACATCAGTGTGGTGGGTGAGGGGGCCAATGGGGAACACAAGGGCGACGGGCCTGTGGTGGAAGGTGATGGTAACGTGGTGATGCTTGGAGGTGGTAACCATGTTACCTCCCTTGAGGTTGCCGCTGGTGTGGTGGTGGGTGCGAGGGCGGGCCAGGAAGACTTGGAGGAGGAGGTGAGGAGGTCGATGGCAATGGGTGGCCTTGAGGCTTGCTGTGGCTGCTCCTTTGCAAGGTCCACTGCTGGTGGTTCTGGAGTGTTTACTGGTGTGCTGTGTGACTCCCCTGCAGCTGCTGCTGCTGCTGCCGCTGCTGCTGCCGCTGCTGCTGCTGCTGTTGTTGATACTACTGCTGCTGCTGGAACTGGTGCTTCTGGTCCTGCTGCTGCCGCTGCTGCTGACGGTGGTGGTGGTGGTGACGGTACTGATGGTGCTGCTGGCACTATCGCTGGGAGAGGAGGTGAAGGAATGGCCTCTTGAACGGGTGTGGAGGCAGCACCACATGACGAAGCAGAGACGGCAGTTGGCACGGAAGGGCGGGTGTGCGCGGTGTGAGAGGCCTGCGGGGGCAATGCACTTGCCGAGTCCTGCATCCCTGAGCCCTCCTCTGCACCTGTTCGTGCTGCTCCTGGCTCCCTTGCTACTGCCTCTTGCTCTGCCACAACTCCTAGCTCTGCCACAACTCCTTGCTCTGCCACCTTTCCCTTGCTCTTCTCTACTGCCAGTTCTTGCCTGCACGCACCTGCAAGACTGTCCCCAGCTTGTGCTATGTCTGGAGACCCATCAGGACCATCGCCCATCGGTCCCTCCTCCTCCGCCCCCTCCTCCTCTCCCTCCTTCCCCATCACCTCCTCCTTCCCTTCCACCCTCACCTCCTGCACATCTCTCCCCTCGCTCCCCCTCTCCACATCTCTCTTCGTCTCCTTCTCACCCACTCCATCCAAGCGCCAGGGGGAGGGTGGGGCGCCAGAAGGGGGGAGCAGCAGCGGGCCAGGGGACCACAGCAGTGTGGCGCGGGGGAGTGGTGTAGCTGCTGCTGACTCGAATCCCCTGCTGCTCTCCTCTTCCCCGCCATCCCTCCCCTTCTCCTCCCCCTGCACCTCAACCACATCTCCATCTTCTGATGCTTCAAGGCCTTGTGCACTCACACACCCCCTCCTCTCCCCCGCCCCCACTCCATTCAGGAACAGCACCCGCTTCTCTGCCCCGCTTGCCCCCCTGCTGCTGCTGTGCCCCTTCCCTCTCGCATCCCCCGCACCAGCAGCACCAGCACTGCCGCCTCTTGCCACACCAACACCCCCCACCACCCCCACTCGCCGCCTCTGCTTCCCTTCACCACTCTCCACATTCCTCTCTCCCACCACCCCTTCCTCTGCCCGCTCCCCTCCCACCTTCCCCTTCTCGCCCACCGCTCCTCCCACCTTGCCCTTCTCGCCCTCCTCCCTTGCCCCCTGCCCTTCCAGCAGTCTGCTGCTGCGTCTCCTTCCCCCCACCTCAGCCAGCCCAAGCGGCCCCTCACTGCCTGCAGACCCAGAGCGGCCCACAACAGGAGAGAGGGAGAGAAGGCTTAGCCTCTCCAGCTTGAATGTCGACCGGTGGGCTGACATCCGGGCTGCCTGCCGCTGCTGCTGCTGCTGCTGCTGCCAGTCCTGCTCCTGCTCTTGCTCCTTGCCTTCCTGTCGTTCCTCCGCCGGCTGCTCTTGCTCCTCCACCTCCTGCTGCTCCTCCTTCCCCGCCCACTGCTGCTGTTGCTGGCTAACAGCTGAGACGACACGCGCTGATACCTCATAACACATGTTCTCTTCCAATGCAGAAACCGCTGTGGGGGCTCGTAGTTCTGCTAATGGTGCTGCTGCTGCTGGTGCTGCTGCTGGTGCTGGTGCTGCTGGTACTTCCGATGGTGCTTCTGTCGAAGGACCTTGCCCACCAACAAGTGTCTCACCAGCAGCCAGCGAGGCCGCCTCCACCATGAGCTCGTCCTTCACACATGCCAGAAGAGACCGCTCTCGAGACACCACCTCTGTGTGACTCACATGTGTGTTAGACGCATGGCCCTCCGACCCATGTGTCTGTGACACATGCCCGTGTGACCCACGCGTGAGCATAACATGCCTGCAGCTGCCCTTATCCGTCCCCGCTGCAGTGCCTGATGGCGCCGCTCTTGCTGACACGCCATGGCTGCTGCTCCAGCTGTGCGAGGCGGAGGCAGACAGAATCAAATCCACGCCGCTGCTGCTCGCCGTCGCACCACTCCCTCCAGCACCACCCAAATGAGCGCCACCTGCACCGCTCTCAACACCTTCATAGTGTGCTCCATTCCCTCCCACACCCCTCACAATCCCAACATCCCCCACAACTCCCATGTCTCTCATATCAACGCCACCATGCAAATGCCCCCTGCTCCCCATGTCGCTATCTAGTGCCCCTGCCTCCATGCCACCATCCCCTCCACCCTCACTGCACCCCCTCTCTCCCCTCCGCCGCTCCACCCTGCGCCGCTTGTACTGCATCCCCCATATAGGCACTTTGGCGGACCCGCCTATAGGCATGGTACCCGCCACTCCCTCCACTGCTGTCGCGACAGGAAGCTCCGTTGGTGTTGCTACTGCGGCTGCTTCTGAAACATCTGCCACTTCAGCTGCTGCTTCTTCTTCTGCCATCCCTGCTACTGTTGCAGCATGTGGTCGCGATAGGCCCACCCCACCACACACCACTTCCCCTGCTGCTCCTCCCGCTGCCCCTGTAGCTGTCAATGCCACAATCACCCCTGCCCGACCCCCACCAGCATATGACAGCTGGACCCCATCAGCCGACACACCAGGTGTCTCTGTCTCCCCCCCTCTCCCTCCCGCTGCCACTCCCTCCCTTCCATCTGCCCGTGCCAGCAATCCCCCATCCCCGGCACCATCGCCACACCCCTTCTCACACCCACCCTCCCCGGCACCCACTTCCCGGCCGCGATAAGCTATCAGCCGCGCGGCCCCCCCTGCTGCCCGCCACCCCTGCCGGCACGTGCGGTGGCTGGTAGGGTGGGAAGGGACATGGGGCCGGGGCGGCGACACTGCTGCTGACACCACTGCAGCTCCGAGAATGCCATTAGCTGTGGCGCCATCAGCAGCAGCAGCAGCAGCAGCAGCAGCAGCAGCAGCAGCAGCAGCAGCAGCAGCAGCAGCAGCAGCAGCAGCAGCAGGTGCAGGGGACGCAGCAGCAGAAGCAGAAGCCAGGGCGAGAGCAGCAGTGCTGCCTCGCCGCTTCTTCCGCACACCGGTCGGTGTGCGCGTAACAGCAGTGGCGTCATCCGTGAGAGGCCAAGACAGCAGACCACGCCCTCCATGCTCCCCCTGCTGCTCTTGATGCTCCTGTGAAATCCCATCCACCCTCACTCCATATAGTCTCTCCCCCACAGCTCGAGCCCGCCGAGTGGACTCGGACCGCCGCCTGCGGCACACGGCACTGCTGGGAACCCACTCCTCCTCCACCCCATACACCCACCCCTCGCCCCCCACCTGCCCGCCCCCACTCCTCCGCCTCCTCTCCTCCCCCTCCTCTCCCGCCCCTCTCGCCCCTGCCTCGTCCCCCTCCTCCCCCTCGCCTGCCCCGTCCTCCCCCGTGTCCCTCACGCCCTGCAGCAGCCAAGAGGGGGATTTCACCACCCGCCGCAACCGCAATCTCACCCCTCCCACCACCCCGCCACTGCCACCGCCACCAGCACCAGCACCAGCATCGACACCAGCACCAGCAGCAGCACCATCACCAGCAGCACCAGCAAGTGCCGCACCATCAATGCCCCTATCCGCCCTGCCCTCCCCCCACCCGTTCCCCTTCTCCCTGCCCCGCCTCTTCCTTTTCCCCCTCCCCTCCGCCACCCCCCCTGCTCCCCCTGTGTCTGTCAATCCAGCCAAGCACCTCCTCCTCTTTCCCCCTACTCCCACCCCCTCACCCTCCCCCTGCCTGCCACTGCTCGCCGCCCACACGAGGGGCACGGGGCGGGAGGATTGGCGCCAAGCAAGGTTGGGGGGAATGGAGGTGCCAGGGAGAAGCAGCCAGGGGAAGCTGAGGGGGAGCGGCGGGGGGAGGGGGGTCGCTGTGGGGGAAGGGGGGGGGAGCGCGAGTGGCGATTGTGGGAAGGCGGATTGGTCAGTGGGTGGAAGTGATAAGGACTGGGGAAGCTGTAAAGGGGAGTGGGAAGGCGGAGGCAAATGGGGAGGCGGAGGTACATGGGGAGGCGGAGGTACATGGGGAGGCGGAGGTACATGGGGAGGGGACAGTGGCGCGGGAAGCATGGTAAGGACTGGATGTGAGAGAGGGTGTTGCGGAGGGTAGGGAAGGGCTGGGGAGACAGCAGCAGGGCTGGGCAGCAGCACGAGGTGTTGAACTGGCATAGATGAGGGGTGGTGAGGGCTATGGTGAGAGTTGTTACAAGGGTCAGCTGGCGTTAGTAATGCTGCTGGCTCAGGTGCCACACCTTCAGGTGCCACACCTTCAGGTGCCACAGCTTCAGGTGCAACACCTTCATGTGCCACACTCTCAGGTGCATCAGGGGAGGCATCACGGGCCACACTGGCTGGAAGCAGCTGGTTTGCATTCTCGCTACGCTCCGCGTCCCCTGCCTCCCCCTCGCCCCCTCTCCCCCTCTCACCCTGCTCTCTGCCGGCCACACAGGGATCACCACGTGCCATGGGCTCCTCTCCTCTTGCTGCTACCTGGGGGACTGTCATGGGGTGTGGTGGTATGGACACAGCAGCAGCGGCTGGAATGTCTGCTGCTGCTGCTTGTGCTGATAATGCTGCTGCTTCTGCTGTTTCAGCTGCGGATTCTGCTGCTAATACCACTACTTCTGCCACTGGTACCACTGCTTCTGCCACTGGTACTGCTGCTTCTGCCACTGGTACTGCTGCTTCTGCCGCTGGTACTGCTGCTTCTGCTGCTGCTTCTGCTGCTGCTGCGACCCCTGCCTCAGGCGGCAATACAGGGGCAGCAACTCCTGGCAGGAAGGCTGCAGGAGCCGCCTCGGAAACAACACGAGTTGGCTCTTTGGATCCAAGAGGCATGTGTGAGGCAGGTGCCATCTGTGAGGCAAGTGCCATCTGGGTGGCAGGTGTCATCTGAGAGGCAGGTGTCATCTGAGAGGCTGGTGCCATCTGGGTGGCAGGTGTCATCTGAGAGGCAGGTGTCATCTGAGAGGCAGGTGCCATCTGGGTGGCAGGTGTCACCTGAGAAGCAGGTGTCATCTGAGAGGCAGGTGTCATCTGAGAGGCAGGTGTCATCTGAGAGGCAGGTGTCATCTGAGAGGCAGGTGTCATCTGAGAGGCAGGTGTCATCTGAGAGACAGGTGTCATCTGGGAGGCAGGTATCATCTGAGAGACAGGTGTCACCTGGGAGGCAGGTGTCACCTGAGAGACAGGTGTCATCTGAAAGTGTTGCAGTGCGCACGGTGTGGCACTGGGTGAATGCTCAAAGGCACTGGGCGGCAACTGGAAAGCCAAAGGGCGCCTCCCAATGGGCGGCAGAGAAAGCTCAGGCGGCGGCGTGTCAGGCACAGACCCCCACACAGCACCACTACCGCTCTGAACCATACTCAGCTCCATCCCTTCCCCATGCGACCCCCCTAACAGCAGCTTCTCTGCCTCACCCACCCCAACCAACCCATCCCCACCATCCACCACACCCGTCATACCCATTTCATCCACCACATGTGCCCCAACCGCCCCTCCCATCTCACCCATCCCATCGGTCCCATCCTCCTCATCTGCCCTAACCATCACCTCCACAGGCACGGCGCGCCACATCTCCTCGATGCCAAACGTGCGCACCACCCGCTGCAGCGCCTCCGCTCTCACCCCCCCTCGCTCCCCTGCCGTCCGCCCTGCCCCTGTCGCCCTTGCCGCCCCTGCTGCCGCCCGCCTCCCTGCTTCATCTCGCGCCCCTGCTGCTGCTTCTGCGGGTGTGCGCATTGGCGCTGCTCCCTCGCCCTTTTCCGCCCCTTTATCTGCCCCAAATGCTTCTGCTGCTGCACTGTCTTTTGGTGCTCCCGCACCTGCTTCCGCATCCACCATCCCTCCTTCGTCCTCCCCCTCCCCACCTTCCCAACCAGCCCCCCCTGGTGTCCTCCCCTCCTCCTCCTCTCCCTTTTCTTCCCCTTCTTCCCCCTCTTCTCCTCCCTCTCCCCCATCTCCCTCATCTCCCTTCTCTCGCTTCACATCTCCTGCTTCCTCACCCTCCTCCACCGCTCTGCACCACCTCGCATCCTCCTCCACCCGAGCCCAGTACGCAGCATCCAGAGGCCCCTCCACGCGTTCAGGAGCCTCAAGGGCGATCACCACCAGCATGGGCCCTCGCCGCCCCTCCTTGCCCCACTCCCTACTCGGAACCACCCCCTCACATTCATCACCCAGATTACCCATCATCCCTCCATAGCTCGGGTTGTTCACGTTGCTGGTGTTGTTCGTGCTGGTACCACTAACCATGTGACTCAAGCCGCTTGCCTTGCTAGCCTTGCCCGCAGAGACCGTCTTGCTCATGGTGGTGGTTGCTTTGACCGAGTTGACTGCCTTGAGTTGCTTCTCCGCTTCCAACTCTGCCAGCCTAGGGGACTGCCGTGCTGCCTTTCTCTGCCCCTGCTGCTCGCTCCACCGCTTTGCACCACTCCTAACAGCACCAGATGCTCCTTCACCCCTTCCCCGCAGCTGCCTCCCATTAGCATCCCCGTCTGCTGCACTAATCTCTACATTCCCGGCTGCTTCCCTCTCTGCCCTCCCTTCAGCCTCGCTCTCTGCATTCCCCTCCGCCTCCCCCTCAGTCTTCTCCTCTGCTTTCACTTCAACCACATCACGACGCTCCCCACCCACTCCATCATCCGCCATACCACCCGCCTCTGCTGCAGGAACAGCCGGTAGTGCCAGAGGGACGCACACAGCCACCGAGGCTTCACCAGGCAACGTAGCAGGCACGGCAGCAGGCACGGCAGCAGGCACGGCAACAGGCAGGGCAGGGACATGCAATGTGGCAGGCAACGCAATGAGCACGGCAGGGGCAGAGGGGGGAGGCACACCAGTGGTACTAGAAGGCTCAGCTGCCAGAGGCATGAGCGCCAAGGGCTTGGCTTCATCAGCTGCTACTGGCGCCAACTGCTTGTACAGGTTGCTCACAGGCAGCGTGCGATGGTGGCTGGAGCAAGGGTGGGTAGATCGATGGTGTGTAGAGCGATGGTGATGGTGGTGATGGTGGTGGCCAGAGCGAGAGTGGCCGGAGCGACGGGACCCACGGGGGAGACCGGGAGCTGCTGCAGCAGCAGCGGCAGCTTTTGCAGTGGCGTCGGCAGCAGCGGCGTCTGCAGCGGCGTTGACAGCGAGGGCAGCAGCAGCAAGGTCGGAGCAGTACTGCTCTGAGAGAAACGAGCACGTGTCCTTGCACCATGGCGGTGCGTCCACATACGCCGCCTCCACCCCCCATACCAGCGCGGTAGCACTGGTACTGCCAGCAGCAGGAGCAGAACCAGCAGCAGCACCCTCCCCGCTGGCACTGGCAGCAGCACTATTCCCACCCGTGCCAGCAGCAGCAGCAGCAGCAGCAGCAGTAGCAGCACCAGTGCCTTCCTCTTGCCCCTCCTCCCCCTCCTCCCTTCCGCCCACCCACTCCACCCCTTCCCCTCCCCATTGCAGCACGCGCCACGGCAGCCCCACATACCCCACCACCACACTCAACAGCTCCGCACCCCCTCCCACCTTTCCCAACCCCTCCAAGAACGCCAGGCGCTGCCTGTGCCGCTGCCGCAGCACGCTAGCCGGCCAGTTCTTGTATTTCACCAGCCGAATCTCCCCCTCCCCCCCACGCCACCGCAGGTCTTCTGGCAGGGGGTGGATTCTCAGGGGGAGGCGCACCCTTCCCCCTCCCCCAAGGTGCTTTCCAGGGGAAATGGGGGGGAGTGGAGGGGTGTGAGGGGTGTAAGGGGTGGGGGGGAGGACGATGCGGCGGGCAGAGGGAGACGGGAGAGCTGCGCTTGGGGGGAGTGCAGGGGCGAGGGGGAATGGCTGTGGTTGCAGTGGGATGGGTTGCGTTTGAGTGTGGTGCTGTGGGTCTGCTTCAAGTTTGAGCTTAACTTTGAGTTTCTTCACTCGCCGATGCCCGTTGATTCCCTTAGACGCCCACATATGCTCCAATACCAACCCCTCCCCCGCCCCTTCTTTCGCCCTCACCCCTCCTCCCTGCACCCCCAACGCCTTGCCCCTCAGGCTGAATTTCCCCCCTCGCCCCAGCCCCCTACCTGCCCCCTTCCGCCCAGGCAGCATCAGCTTCCCCCCGCCCCTCCCAATCCCCCTCCTGCCCCCCAATCTCCCCCCAACCACTGATCCTGCCGCCCTCACCCCCCCCGCCCCCCCTGCTGCTGCTCCACCCGCCACTGCCGCCCCTCTCCCTCCCAATCCCAACTTCCACTGCCCCGCCGGCCCAGCCACAAGGGGCGGCAGGGCGGCAGGGGCGGCAGCGGGCGGCAGCACCGGCAGCGCCTTCTCCAAAACCGCCGTCCCCGGGAACACGAGCACGTCCAGCTGTAGCAGCTGCCGCCGCCCCTCCGCTGACATGTCAGCAAAGCCAAAGCCTTGGCGCCACGTGGCATCGGCCTCGGGGACAGCTGGCAGGAGGAACCTGCGCACGCCCAGGGAGGCGAGCAGCTGCTCTATCTGCTGCAGCAGGCGGCGACACATGCCCTGGCGGCGGTAGCGAAAACGTGTTCCGATGAGCGGCATCTCGGCTAACTCGCTGCCGTACACCCTGTGGGCACAGACAGGAGGGGTGGGGGAGGTTGGAGGGAGAGGAAGGGAGTAATTGCATGCAGGGAAGTTGGAAGGGAAAGGGGAGGGGAATTAGGAGTTTAGAGGAGGGACAAGACGAAGACAGCATGGCTCCCTCGTACACGTGCATGCATGAAAGGAAATGGAGACAGTGGAGGCGTGGGAACAGCAGCGCACCTGATGCTGGCGGCGGTGATGGACTCCTTGCCCTGCTGCAGCACTGCCGTGTAGAACCCCGAGTAATCCCGGTGCTTTGTGCTGCAAAAAGGGAGAGAGGAGGTGCACATGGGCGGAGAGGAGTAGAGAAGAGTGGAGGGGAAGCGGAGGAGAAACACCAGAGGATGAGGAAAGGGAGGGATCGTGGGAACTAGGGCGACCAAAAAGGTCCTGCTATATCAATGGCACACACAGGAGCAGAGGGGGGCGGACACAGGAGCAGAGGGCGCAGGGAAGAGCCTAGGGGAGGGTGCAGGGAAGACGCGTGTACCTCTTGCTGTGCACGATGATGGGCACGAGGTCCTCGCCAGTGAAGGCGTCCTTGATGGGATGGAAGCACTCGCGCATCACCTCCATGCCGCACCGCAGCTTCCTCTCCACCTCGCCTGTCCGCTCCCTCAGTAGGTTGTCGTGCCGCCGAGCTTCTTTGTTCACTGACCCTGCCTCGCTGCGCGGGCCCTCCGCGTGCAGAAGCGTCCAGGAAAAGCCGCCCGGGAGGGAGATGGGCTTGCCTATGAGGCGCTGCAGGCCGAAAAAAACCTGCAGATCGGAGATGAGGGGTGAGGGTTGAGGGGCGAGGGGTGATGTAGGGTTTACGGGTTAAGGTTGAGGGATTGAGGGTGAGGGGCCAAGGTTGAGGGGTAAGGGTTGGGGGAAGGGGTGAGGGTTTTAGGGTTGGGGTGAGGGGTGAATATTGAGGGGTGAGGCATAACGGCAGCAGCAGAAGACAAAAGACACTCACGGTGCGGCACTGTGGGCGGCAGAAGAAGCGGCCAGTGGGGAGCTCCTTGAGGTCGGCCCACCCCATGTCCCTGAGACAGCTCACGTGGTCTGGTTGGGGAAGGTGGGTGGGGGAGAGGAGGAGGGGAGAGGAGGGGAGAGGAGGGGAGATAGCGACCGGTGGGACAGAGGGGAAGAAATGTTGGAGCCATGGGTAAGGAGCACCCTGGCGTAAGAATCATATACATATGCAACTGAGACACAACGTGGACCCGGCAACAATGCAGCCGAACTGGCAAGTCGAGGAATGCAAGTGCAGGACAGGAGGTGGTGTGTAAACTCTACACCCCTCCTGGGCTCACATTCGCGCTCGCACTGGTCACAGAAGATAACGGTGTCATCACCAAAGCCCTGCGTGCCGTAGTGGCTCCCCCCGCAGATGGAGCAGCGGCACGCCGGACAGAACCAGTTGCCCCCTGGCAGCGCCTGCTCGCCACAGCCGCACGCATAGGGGGAAGTGTGACGGTGGGACGTGCAGTGGGAGAGATGGGGGGAGACACAGAGCGAGGGATGGGGACAAGATCATAAGCACTATGTCAAATCTACAGGGGGGCAATGCAGAGAGCATGAGGAGAGGAGCATGTAGAAGGAATGAGAGGGGCATGAGAATGTCATACAGACTGCACGAGAATGTCATACAGACTACACGAGAATGTCATACAGACTACACGAGAATGGCATGGCATGGGGGGGACACACACCTGCAGGCCAGCGCAGGGCAGGTGCAGCGTGGCAGGGCAGGCATCGCAGCACAGCAACTCGCCACCGTCCCCACACAGCCGGCACAGCACATCACTGTAGTCACTCCGCTCCCCCGCTCCCCCCTCCCCTTCCGCGCCCTCCCCGCCCCCCTCCCCTCCCGCCCCTTTCACTTTCGACCCCAGCCCCTTCACCCTCACCACTTTCCTCGCCGCCGCCCCCTCCCCCTTCCCCTCCTCCCGCCCACCACCTGCCGTTCCCCTCCCGCCAACCTCCCTCACTGCGCCATTCCCCACAACCACCCCAACACCACTGCCACCACCAGCTGCGCTTGCGCCTGCACCCGCACCTGTGCCTGCGCTCCCCCCATACGCGCTCCTCTCCGCCTCCATCTTACACACGGCCAGGGTCCGCCCGTCCTCCAGAAACATATTCGCCGCGGGGCGCCTATACGTCACCCCTGTGTGCGCCTCAAACCCTGAGAGATTAAACATGCGTCCGCAGCAGTCGCACGTCACGCCCTGCCGCGACAGCCGCCCGCTCTTAAGCGCGCGCCTCTCCCGCATGTCCCTATATTCCACTGCCTCCCCGTCCCTCACCAGCCCTAGGTCTATTAGACGCGCTAGGTCCCTTCCAGGCGGGTAAACCTTCGCTATGGAGTGCTTCTTGTGCGCGGGAGCCCTGCGCGCGGGGGGAACGTCCGCGCTGCCTGCGTGCTCCGCGGAGTCCAGCGCAAAACCCCCCGCGGTTGCCTCTCCTGCAGCGTCGTCCGCTGCCCCAGGCGCCTCTCTCACGCGCAACTGCCGCGCCCTGCCTCTGCTTCCCTGCGTCTTGGCGCCCTTGCCGATCACCACTACGCCCTCTCTCCGCCTCCCCGCGCTGGCCTCACCCGCCGCCTGCTTCCCCCCCCCCGCTCCCCCTCCGCCCGTGCTCACCCTCTTCTGCTCCACCACGCGCTTTCCCCTCGGCGCAAACCTGTCCAAGGGCGACCCAGCCACGTGCTGATTCACCCCACTTGCCTCTCCCGCCTCTCCCGCCACTCTGACTTCCCTCACCCCTCTCCCTTCTCTCGCCTGGCTCACATCAGACACTTCGTTCACCTCCCGTACGTGCTGCGACCCTGCGCCCCGTGAATGCAGCACGCCCAGCCCCGTGCCTGCGCCCGCACCGTGACCCAAACCTAACCCTAACCCTAACCCTAAACCTAAACCTGTGTCCCTGCGTCTGATCTTCTTCCCGCCGCTATAACGCCCCATGTCTGCCCTAGTAGTGGCATCCGGACCACCAGCGACCACCTTGGGAGTGTCAGCTGAAACAGCATCGGGCGCTACGTCGGAACCTCTATCTATACTAGCCCCTGAATCAGGTACTATCGAGGATATCTGCTCATTCGCGCGCTCGCTGCTAACCGCACCGTTCTCAACCCCTCTACCATCCCCGCGCGGCTTCAAGCTAAGTCTCGCTGTGCCGTTCTCACAATCCGCGCTTCCACTTCCGCCCGCAATCCTCCCCGCAACCCCCTCCACCTTCCGCGGCCGCCACTCGCCCGTGCGCTCGTCCCAATCCTGCCCGAACCGCAACAAACCGATCGCAACCGATTCGGACGTCGCTTCGTCGGGGAACTCCACGGGAACCTCCGTGCGCTTGCCCACGCGCACGACGTCCGCGAGGAGGTACCCCTCCCACCACGCGTCGTTGCACAGCATGTCCACCGGCGCGCCCGCGCGCCACCGCCGGTACGACGGCACGTGCTCCTGCGGCGGGCGCGGCCGCAGCACCGGCTTCACCGCGCGACCGTTCACCCCGTCCGCTGTGACCAGCTTCGCGAATTTCGCCATTGCGGAATCGATCAGGGTTTTCCATGGGGAATCGGGTGGCGGGGCCTGGCACGGAGTTCCCGAGGTAAAGTAAGACGCGAGAGGGATGGCTTCGACGAGCGGCTCGGAGAGATCGTCTGTGATAAGCTCCTGGTACTGCACGACGCGCCAGCCGTCTTCCACGCCCACCACCACCGCCGGGTGCCATGACCCGCGCAAACCCTCCTCCAGCTGACGCACCTGCGCGGGATCGGTGGGGGGAAACGACGAGAATTCGTGCTTAACTTGGGTATTGCGCTACAGAGTAACAGGGAAAACGGAAATTGATATAATAATGTACGAAGAGTACTAGCCCTTGTCGCAGCAGCTATACAAGAACGACAGTACGGAAACAGACGCGAAGCGAATGAGAGTACGTTGGCGATAACGGATTATAAGGTCACGGCCGCTATTTAATGCTACGCCTGGTGGACTTAATACACTCAAACGCACGAACGAATTTCCTGAAATCCTGATTCGTCACCGGTGCGACAATAAGGAACGAAACTACGGGAATCCAAACGGCTTAGATACCTCGACTTCTAAACCGACGGGCAATCGTCCCTCTTCTGGACTCTGATCCTGGCTGGAATCATCAGACGACACCTCCACCACCGCGTCGTCCTCCGTTTCAACTGACGGCATCTTGCCAGGAAGCTGGACCTTCAAAAGGCCCCACGCTTCGCTCTCGCAAAGTGCGACCATCCGTGACGGCCCCGCATTGAGCGAGATACACGCGACGAACAACGCGATACTTCAAGAATTTAGGATACAACGCTACCGTTAGCTTCAAGAAGCCTGCTCTTTATTTCTGATAGTCTCTGCTGGTTCCTTGTTTCTCTCTCGCTCGTTTGAGGCAGATGAACACGAGTGTGGAGCAGGTTGGTTGATCAAGATTCGGTGAGGGAGGCAAGGGGTCTGCACCGAACGGACGGTGGGATGAAGACCACACCCCACGAAAATATCTCCGAGGGTCGATCGAACGCTCACAAGCTTGAATCTGTGTTTTGGTTCGGTGACCTTGCTTGCTGGCTAGGGTTTCTTCTAACGAATTTGCGGACAAGAACTCCAGACAATCTCGGGTTGAATTTCTTGTGGTTTTCAACCGCGTGAAGGAACAACAACGGCAAGTCATGTTATACCATAAATACTACACAATATCAAAATCCAATCAAAATCCTATTGACCTAATTTGGTAATTTCTGAAGGGCTCCAACTGAAGCTATTCTATGAAAAGACGGAAATATACTTACTAAGCTTCCAGCAAAGCTAGCTCCATGAGGGGAAGGAAGCACACCTTGTGGTGTGCCTACATCATATGCATCAAAAAGTGATGTTCCTGCTCCTGTTACCTTCACACTGCCTTCACCAGGATCACAAGGCGATATCATCGCAATCGGAGCTTGGGCACCGGGAGCCCCTGCAGATCTGTTACCTTCATATACGATCCTGTCAAGTCGGTACCTACCCAAAGCTGCCATATGGCAGTTCCCTAATGGCTGCGGTGTCGTATCAAATGCTGTGAGTTCTCCAATGGCTGTATGAGCCCCCGCAGCTGGTGCAGGCGTCAGTGTTGCTCCTGAAGACAGTGTCAGTTTGTTAGTGGGTGAAAGAAGGCTGGACGGACTGAATGGGATCAATTTAGGACTGGGGAGGATGAGTGGCGATTCGTCAAGAGAGGAGTCGGTTGACCATAGGTTGGTAGGATCAGTACCTTCCCACATGCTGCAAGCACCAACCGGGCAGAAATTCACAGAATAGGAAATAGACAGGGATGATGAGACACACGCAACATCAAACAAGGAGGCTGACGACGAGACACGAGCAACATGGAACAAGGCGACTGATGACGACACACAAGCAACATGGAACAAGGCGACTGACGAGGAAAATCATGTGGGTAACAAACCTGTTGATAAGCGCGAGGGGGCTGAGCAATTTCACAGACGCTATGGTGGCATCAGCCGTCGCGCCTGCCAGGTTGCTCCCTCCACCCGCACCCAGACCTGCAGGAACGTCCATCTCAGCTGCAGCGCTGACAGTAGCGTCTGCCTCAGTGTCCCCAGGAAGGCACGGGATGATGAGCCGAGGCGGCATTCTGAACCCTGCTCTCACTCGCCCTGCACCACCAGTCACTGCAGTGAGCCGTGTCAACGCAGCCTGAGTGCTTGGCTGTGACCTAGTCAGGCCAGCTTCTAAGCACGCAGGGGGCGGCATTGCCATAGTATTACTCACGCCCCTGCTCGGCTGACTGTTAGTGATGCCTGTGGGGACTGTGGCGGTTGCGATGTTGCTACCTAACTTCTCCTCGCCCCCTTGTCCCATCCCAGCGCACATCTCCCCTCTCTCTTCGTTCCGCCCGTACCCCGCCCGTCCCGCGCCTCTGCAGGCACCATCTTGATCTTCCCCGTCAACGCAAGGCCCCTCTCGCCATGCGCGGCCTGGGCGCGGAGTGCGCCATTTTTCCTTCGCTTCCGCCAGTACCGCTGGCGCTGTGCGCGCGGACACCGCCAAGGGAACAGGCGCAAGGGGCTCAGAAGGCAGTGCCGGGCTGGCCGGGAAGTGAGCGGAAGGGCTGTCGCAGGGGGAAGCGGAGGAGGCGGAGGGACTATCGTCGTCGGCGGAGGGAGTACGAGGAGAAGCTTCTCCCGCTGGTGCGAAAGGCGAAGTGACGGCGGAAGGGGGGAGGCTACACGGGGAGGGAGGTGCACCGGGAGGTGCAGCGCGGGGAGCGGGGCGGGGAGCAGCGGGGGCATGGAGGAGAGGGAGGATCCGGGAGGAGGAACTGGTAGGCGACGCGAAACCAGCGTCGTGAATCGCCTCATCCACTCGACGACGTTTTGACAGAGAATCATCTGCGCTTTGCGCCGCAGCTACTGCCTGCGGAGCAGGCCCCGCGGAGACTCCCTTTCGCGGGTCCTCCCCCAACGCGGTGGCGAGGAGGCTAGAGGGGGCGAGCAGGGGCGGCGCGGAGGGCAGCGGGAGGTGCGAGTCGGGATCGACGCCGAGGTCCCTCAGCCGCCGCTTCAATCGCGTGTTCCAGTGGTTCTTAATGTCGTTGTCGGTGCGCCCCGGCATCTCGAGCGCGATCTTCGCCCAACGGTTGCCCATCTGACGGTGCAGGCGCACGACGAGATCCTCCTCGTCGCGCGTGAACGCGCCTCGCTTCAGGTCGGGCCGCAGGTAGTTGGTCCATCGCAAGCGACAGCTCTTGCCGCACCGCTGCAACCCTGCGACGCGGAATGGAGAAGATAAGGGGAAGGGAGAAGAGGGGGCGTTGAGCGGTGAAGGCCGGTACGGAACAACAAAAAGCGGAGTTGAATGGGGGGTAACGACGATTGTGTGAAGGTGGGAAATGGACGACATTGCGAAAGCAGGTAGCTTGGGGATGAAATGTGTTCAAGACCATGCATGGTGGACTATGCGAGCGTAAGGCCGAGATTACAATTGGTATGCAGCCAGCCCGCGCTTCCAGTGATCGTCTTTCTACATTCTGTGCGAGCTACATGCACGTACCGGCTTTCCTGGGAATGGCGCTCCAGTTGCCGTCGCCGTGTTCCGCGATGCACTTCACGAGCAGCTCGTCCTCCTCGGCCGTCCATGACCCTTTTCTCAACTCCGCCTTGTCGCCGCCAGACGTGCTTGCGCGGGCCATTCTGCTATGAGGAATACGCGCATGCGCGAAAAGGCACGCGTTTGCTATTGGGTTGTTCAATGTCGAAATGTCGTAGCCGGTCGATATATGGCGAGGTGTTTGCTGGTTTCGGAAACGTGAACATCGAAGTCGTGCAAAGAGCGAAGCAGTTCGGCGTAGCCTGTCAATTATAAGGTGATAACAAGCAACAAGGGTGTAAATGGGTCTGGGAAATGGAGGCTTGTGCTTTGCTGTGCATCCTGCATTTTTCCTTCTCGCGCCACACCATCAACAAAATTCGCCCCTCATTCCGAGCGATTCGTCCCTCAATTTCCCCGCACCGCGGCTTCGCTACGCACTGTCCTTGCGGGGAGCGCGGGGAGGTGGAGGAGGGGTGTGGGGGGGAGGGTGGGGAGAGAAGGCGGAAGGACACCAAGGCTGAGCTTTCGCCAGCTGTCGAGGGCGGAAATTCCACGTCAACCAGTCGGGCAAACCTCGAGGTTCGTCGGCCATACCTCCACTGTTACCGAATTATCCAGGAGCTTCCAGTAGCACGAACCCACGTAGACCAGAACCCGTCATCAATGCGACGTCCAGCGAGGACTCGCACGGTTCTCCTCAACCCGACACGAGCACCAGCTTCTGCCACGCCAAGGCGGCTGCAGGCGTAATAATAAGCAGGCATGGAGCTGACGAGACGAGACAGCGTCACGCGAAGTGACTGACTACACACGATGCCCGGTTGAGCCCCCCGACCTTGCCTCTCTCTCTGGGCTTTTAAGTGATTTTGGATTTCGTCTGAGTTTCGTCAATTCGCACGCTTAGAAAAGGGCAGATGGAGAATTGTAACTAAGCGTTGACAATTTGACCCCGGTCTCTTCAGTTTGGGGTGCTTGTAGATGGGGTGCAACTGGCTGGCACAAAATACACGGGTGCAGGGTTTCCATCTTGCACAAGGCAAATTCGCGTGCACTGGTTGGGCATAGTGTGTACACACACTTGCTGTACAGCTGTACAGTACCGAAACTTGCCAAACGTTCCACAGAAAAATGCAGCTGGGTGGAATCACTGAAGATAAGCGAAAATCAAACAGCTAGGTTAACAGCCCAGGAACCACAAGTGTTGCACTGTATTTCGAAACTTTGGGTGGAGACCAAACCAGGCTCGGGCAGACGAGAATCTTGTACAAAATTTGTGAACCACCGCTATTTACGGTGCCCTCCGACCTGCAGCCTCAAACTGAAGTCAGAGTGAGGACGGATAAAGCGCGTTGGGCACCTTGTGGATCGCAAAACAACGTCCACCTCCTCACTTTTGGCGTGAACCAAAGCTCTACAGATCGTGTGGCCAGAATGCACCCCATCCTCTTCTCAGGCTTCAAGCTCACCATGGTCAAAGGATAGGCCTAATTGATGACGTCAGCACTTGACTTCACAGCTGCAATTCGCACGCGTTGCGATCTTTGGAAAAGCGCGCTTGCTGTCGTGGCGGAGCTGATACTCGACGTCATTTTCCAGCCAACATGGACCTTCCATCTTCCAACGCACTACAGTCGATGCCCGGTTGAGCCTCCCGACCTTGCCATACTCTTGGGGCGTTAAAATGATTTTTGCGTTTCGTCTGGATTTCGTCATTTCGCACCTAGCAAAAAAGGGCTAAAAAAAAGTTGTAACTCACCGTTGACCGTTTGACCTGGGTCTCATCAGTTTGACTTTGGTTTCTGTGGTTAGTAAAGTCGATTTTCTGTGACGCCGCCGCCGTCAAGAGACTTGCGACACCACAACAAGAAGAAAATGAGAGAAAGAAGTATTTTAAGAGAACGATCGGCTATTGCGCAGAACCCGAAATTTGGCACCAGCGGCTCGGATACCGATCACACGCTACATATAAGAATTCTATCGAGGCTGAAGACTTTGATACTAGCGGACTACTCATACCTGGCGGCGACACGCTCAATGCGACATCTGCTGACCCACCATGTATCGTCTGCCCAACTGCGTCACTCACTCACAAGCCCTTCCCGGACTTACCTCCAGGCTACAAACGTTACAAACTGCTCATAAAGGTTTACAACGACTTCATGATACTTAGCCAAGAAGGGCTCGACAGAGAAAGCTATATGATGACGTTCATCAACGCCTACACGTGCTACGTCTTGGCCATCCACATCGATTATTACTCACGAGCCTTTGACTGCTTTGTAACTTGGATGAAGCGCGCCGAGCCTCAATCAGGATTTAACGTGAAAAACTTCTAGACAAACGGAGGAATGGAGTACTTCTCAACTGAGTTCAAGGAACTCTTCACAAAGGAGGAGATTGAACACCTTGTGTTCCTACCCCACGCACACGAGCAACAAGGGGTAGTAGAACGTGTCAGAATGTGATGGTTGTCTAGCCTGCAGTGGGGTACTCTATAGCGAGTACAGCCCTTCTAGGGTTTGCTATATGTATCCCTATGCTTGTTAGTGAAAACCCTTCTTGCCTGTTTCTTGATTCTGCCTAGTGATTTTAACATGGTATCAGAGCAGGTCGACCCTCCTGGGTCGATCCTGTGGGTGGTCCCACCCGTTAGCTTCCGCTGCTACTCTGTGTGTCGCGCGCCCCGTGGTGGGCGACGGATTTTTCTTCCCGCCGTGCGCCCCGAGGCGCGCGGCGGTTTTCCCTTGTCGAAGCCCCCCCCCCCCCGTCGCCCGTCGCGTCGCCTCGCGGAGCCGCGCACTGCCCCCCGGTGTCTCGTTGCAACGCTCTGGGGAGTCGCGCGCGGCCCCCGCTACCCCGTCGCGACGCCCTGGGGAGCCGCGCGCGACCCCCCCGTCGCGACGCCCGGGGGAGTCGCGCGCGACCCCGCTGCTTCGTCGCGGCGCCCTGGGGAGCCGCACGCGGCTGCCCCGCCGAGGCGCCCTGGGGAGCCGCGCGCGGCCCCTCTCTGCCCCTGGCTGCTGCCCGCGCCCCCCCCCCCCCCCCCCCCCCCCCGCTGCTGCCTGTGTTAGGGTTTGGGGTTGGCGGATGTGGGGGTGGCGGGTATGGGGGTGACGAATGAGTGCGCCATCAGCTGCTCCTCCTCCTCCTCCGTCTCCCACTGCTGCAGCTGCCGCTCAGGGGGGTGGATGTGTTGGAGCCGTCAGGAGGGGGGTGGCGTATGAGAGTTGCTAGTGGTTCAACAGGGGGTGTGTGATAGGGGTGTGGGACAGGAGGTAGCCGGTGTGACGTCTGCAGCGCCAGTAGCCCGGGGGTTGAGTACTCCGGTAGCCCAGCGAGCCTGCTGCGCCAGTCGCCTGTGGGTCCGTTGCTCCTGCAGCTTAGTGCGGAGCCAGTTACTCCTGTAGTCCGGAGGTTGAGTGCTCCGGTAGCCACTGTGCGCGCCGTTCCTGTTGCCCGAGTGTCTGTCGCCGTGTAGTCCGGGGCTCTGCGCCTGGTAGCGACAGTGCTGCGCGCTTCTGTTGCGCGTGTGTCTGCAGCTTCAGCCGTTGCCTCCCATCTTCTTGCTCCCACAGTTTCTCCTCCTCCTCACTTGCCCTCTGTGATTGCCTCTAGCTTTGCTTGTATTTGTGAACCTACTGCTCTGCCTGCTTGTTGTGTTGATTGTACCCCACTTTGACTATGGGGGTGTGTCAGAATGTGATGGTTGTCTAGCCTGCAGTGGGGTACTCTATAGCGAGTACAGCCCTTCTAGGGTTTGCTATATGTATCCCTATGCTTGTTAGTGAAAACCCCTCTTGCTTGTTTCTTGATTCTGCCTAGTGATTTTAACAAAACGAACAAACAGGAGCCTTGCCAGAAGGATGAGAGCCCTCGTGAAGCAGTCTGCCATCTCGACACAGTTTTGGCCCTTCGCGATGAACCATGTCGTTCGGCTGCACAACTTGCTGTCATCCAGAAGCCTCAAGAACAACACCTCACCTTACAAGGCTTGCACGAGCAGAAAGGTTGACATGCGTCTTCTTCAAGTATTCAGTTCCATGGTGAGACCTCATACGTCAAGGACCGGAAATTTTACTTACCGGGCACGCTCGGGCATCCACTCCGGGATCGAAAAGGAGTTCAAGGCTTGGATCGTGCTAGACTACGCCACACACGAAGTGACAAAACCACGAGTCTGTATCTTCTACGAAAAACTGACTGCCTATGTTTAAGGAACACTGAGAAGCTGACAAGGCATCGGAACGAGTTTTCGGGGGACATCACAACTTCCCAACAACACAAGATGAAGCTGACGTGGCAGAAGATGTAGCAGACATCTCAGTTTACGACCTCTATCCACACATCTCCCTTACAAGCCCATTCCAATATCCAACCTTCATACCTGTTTCACAATTAGATCCTGGCGATACAACTCATGAAGCCCACAACTACAACAGCACAGCTCACAAATCCCCGGATGCCGAGTTACCACCACCAAATCCATCACATGATACCCTCCGCAATGGCCACGACAGCGACAACAACGTTGTCGAAGTTACCAGCATGCACGATAACAATCGCCTCGCCTACGAAGACACTAACGAAACCGGGCTCCGCATCCTTGGGCTCGCAGTAGTAGTTCGCCGACTCCCACCCAAGGAGCCCACCAAAATGCGCCAGGCTCTGTCTGGCGCCGACAGCGAAAAGTGGAAAGTATCCATGGCTGCCGAAGTGGCAACACTTAAGCGCCGCAGAACCTGGAAGCTGGTCCCCCGTTCATTTGCGAAAGGGAGAAAAACATTGAGTGGCAAATGGGTTTTTCGAATTGAAACACACGCGGACGGCACAATCAACAAATACAGGGCGCGGTGGGTGGTGCGCGACTTAGAGCAAACTCACATGGTGGATTATGATCAAATATTCGCACCAGTCGGACGGCACACCTCGGTGCGCATTCTCATCTGCATCGCCGCCGTCAAGCAGCGCTCGCTCCGACAGATCGACGTCTCCAACCCGTTCCTTTACGCAATTGCCAATGCCATCATCTTCGTCGAGCAGCTGCACG